AACATTTAGTCACGACACTGTCTATTCCCCCGTTAGCCGGAAAAACCCAAGTTAAATGAAAACGCCGACTCGTTTCACAAGATAAGTTAATTTGGCCACGCGTTTTAATCAACACCCTTGTTTCGATTGGAACGTGATCTGCACGATAATAATGGTTTGTAATCGTTTATTAGTTGACAAGAAGACGTGGACATGAAGTGTAATCAATCTCGAGCTCTGCCTTCCGTTGTACCCTCATGATACTTTTTGTTTTACATCTCCTGAAGTAAAAAAGATATCAAAATGAAATTTCAAAAAATAATAAATCTTTATTTTCTTTATTGGACATAAAATTTTTAGGAAATTGAGAAAAATATGACTTTTTTCCTTCTGTGATACCTTAATATAAATTCACTTAATTATAGACAATAATTTACCATTATTTCGCTCTCATAGTTATAACTTATCTAAATTCAATGGTGTTAGATGACTGTTTAATGCGGAAAGAGAAATATAATAGTGCATCACGTATCATGTGACGTGTCCAGAACAAATTATACTGGATGTGTTTTTACGCTTTTTACTCACCATTTTGAGAAATGATGACGCCCCAGTCGGCTTTTAAAGAAATTTTCATACAGGTTATACAGGCAAGAAATTTGTTTAAAAAGCCTTGCCACTCAGTAAAAAAAATACATCAACACCTGTTACATCTTTGAATAAACGGGCATTTAATTTATTGTGACACGAAGGGTTCTACGTGGCACATTATTTGTTCAAACTCATTGCCTACTCCAACTACATAAACACCTTCAAAAAATTACCATGATATTGACAGAAATTTCCGTTCAAATCCCTCCGATTAAACTGACCTTTTCATTAAAACACCATGTCACAAGCCCGTCTCTTCGCAAGAGAAACCTCAATAGGGAATCTCAACTGATCAAGAAGTAATGTGGGTGTATCCCCTTATATATTCTGCAAACAAATAACGAATATCACCCGGGAAATATTCAGTGAAGTAATGCATTTACACCAAGCGCGTGAGAGCTGAGATACTTTCCGAAAATCAAATACTTTAGAGAAAAGAGTATTAAAGGCAGAGAAAAATTCGAACGAGACTGCAATCGATACAAGAGCATGCCTCTTCGCTCAAAGAAATAACTTCCTAGTTCTAGAGAAAGGAATTCACACGGTTTACCGCACCGGAAAAGTCAACGGATCAGTAATGTAAATAAACTTTACATAAGATAATAATTCCTTATTATTATGAATTTCTAAGGCAAAATTAGAACTAGAGCAGTGCATCGAGGATCATGAATCGAGGGCAAATTATCCTGGAAGTGTTATTACACTGTTTATCAATAAAGGGCAAAATTACTGAGCGCTGATTGGTTGAGAGAGAGGGCATTTTTTCTTAATCGAGGGCATTTTTAGTAATCAAGAGAGGGCATGATTACCTGTTAATGGTTGGCTAATCCGTTGCATAATTTTGCCCTTTATTGATAAACAAGTAATCCCATGAGACCTCGTACTATTAAGGATTAATTGCACTTGAGTTTTCAAAATTTTCCAAATTGCCCTCGTGCAATTAATCCTTAATAGTACTTGGCCTCATGTGATTACCTATACTTATTTGTCAATTTAATGAAGATTATATCTCATTCAGAGATAATAAAACCCGAGTGGCCTTACGAAGAAATTTTAAGCCAAGTAAGAAATTTCCAGAAGCTTAGGCGCCTCTTTTTTTTTCCTCTCTGAGCTAACTTCATCACAGTAGGATGAATGTTTAATAAAATTTGAAAATTGATCAACGCGCTAAGTAGAGAGTTAAAGCAAAATATCTTAGAGGTGTCACAACAAAATCCGTTCATCACAGTCATGAAAATTATCTCTTATTGAGAAATGATAACGATATATGCCTCTTCGCTCCGAAAAAGATTATTTTTAAGACTCAAGTAAAGGGAAACACGCGGTTTTCTTGAACGGATCAGTTATCGGATCAGTTAATGTAAATACAATCATCTATATCATTGGATCATTTCTTTCTCTTTGCTAAAACTCATTTAAATTGAACGGCGTAGGATGACTGTTAAATGCAAAATTAAAAATTGAAGAGTGTATTATGTAGCATGTGTCTGGGGCATATTATCCCGAAAGCGTTATTTAAACTCTTTGTTCATTGAAAGATGATAACGTTGGAGTCGGTTTGTTAATAAATTTTGAACCAAGTAAGAAATTTGTTCAAACCTAATGAAGCGGTAAAACTTTGCAGAAAAACACACAAACAGCTGTCACGTTGTTTGATGAACAGACATATATCGCGACATGAAGGGCTCTACGTGCACGGTATTATTTCGAAATGCATTGTCTACCTCGACATCATGACTGCCTTGAGTAAAATTACTATGACACATAAATGACTTTTCAGCTGTTGTTATTTCGTGTCGTTGCAGAAGATCGAGTTTCTCTCCTTTGAAACACCACATTCTTTCCCGATCAAACGTTTCATCTCGTCAGTAAACCATTTAGTTACAAGTTAACTTTGTTTGAGGCACCGGCAGTGAACGAAATCCTACAAATAAGTCCAAATTTGCAAGAAGTTTCCAAAGCAGAAGGCATCTGTCCTAATCATAACAGGAAACTTGCTTATTTTTAAAATAACGTCTATGAGAAAATTACGCCCTTCTGATCGGCTGAAAACGAGTGCATTCCGATGTAACGCGAGTGCAAATTACTAATAGCGCCTTTTTTTACTATTTGAGTACGTGCTGAGTAATCCCACCGGCTACCTAACCCTTAAACTCCCAAGATCTCATCAGTAATTCTCCTCACTGTCTGCCATACAATTCTTATTATGTCGATTTGGAGAATTTGGTATTGGATCAACTAATAATCCCCTAATCGATATTTTACTTTATTCTCATCACTTCTATGCTTGATATTGTATTGATATTGTAAGGAGAGATTCTCTCTTAGTCTTAGTCACTCATGGGAGGTAAAGGGTTAGGGGAATTGGAAGAATATTTGACAATTTCAACTGAAAGCTATTATTAGCACTAGTTTGGCTGAGCGGAGTCGTGTTTCAGAGCTAGGTTCTTTGACAGTACGTTGATAAAAAAAATGTTTGAGCGACAGATTGGCGAATGACACGAAAAAGAGATGTAATATCCATAGTGAAAAGAAGTTTGTCTTGGCCAAGGAAATTAACGACACGAACAATTTCAAGTGCGTGTTGGCTGCCTTTAATGTATGATGGTAAAGTTTTGACGATAGAAGTCATAAATGTATAAATAAATGTACTTAACTCTAGATTTTAATTTCTTAGTATTTCTCTCTCTAATTGTTGTGACTCGTTTAATTTCAAAGATGTACGATGACTGTTTGATGCAAAATTTAACAGTGCATCTGGCAGCATGTGTCTAGAGCTAATTATCCTGAATTGTTATTCCTTTCGTCTATCGGTTCAGTCTGTCGCGCGAGTCCAAACAAATTTAATAAATCCCTCCGATTAAACCGACCGTTGCATTAAAACACCATGTCACAAGCCCGTCTCTTCGCAGGAGAAACCTTACCAGGGAATCTCAACTGATCAAGAAGTAATGTGGGTGTATGCCCTCATATATTCTGCAACTTGCATATTTCCTGGTGATAGTCGTTATTTGTTCAACAAATAACGAATAACATTAGGAAATATGTAGTGCATGTACACCAAGCGCATGAGAGCTGTGATACTTTCCGAAAATCAAATACTTAAGAGAAAAGAGTATTAAAGGCAGAGAAAAATTTGAATGAGACTGCAATCGATGCAAGAGCATGCCTTTACGCTCCAAGAAATAACTTCTTAGTTCTAGTAAAAAGAATTCACAAGGTTCACCGCACCGGAAAAGTAAGCGGATCAATAATGTAAATGAACTTTACTTAAAATAATAATTCAGTAGTATTTCTCTCTCTTTGCTATGACTCTTAAATTCAACGGTGTAGAATGAATTTCTAAGGCAAAATTAGAACTAGAGCAGTGCATCATGGATCATGCCGGAGTCAAGCGTAAATCATCCTGGAAGTGTTATTACACTGTTTATTTATCAATTTAACGAAGATTATATCTCATTAAGAGATAATAACACCTGAGTGGCCTTATGAAGAAATTTTGAGCCAAGTAAGAAATTTCCAGACGCCAAAGATCTCTCTCCCTCTCTGAGCTAAATTTATCACAGTAGGATGAATGTTTAATGCAAATTTGGAAATAGATCTACGCACTTAGAAGAGAGTTAAAGCAAAATATCTTGGATGTGTCACGACAAAATTCGTTCATCACCTTCATGAAAATTATCTCTCATTGAGAAATGATAACCATATATGCCTCTTCGCTCCGAAAAAAAAAATTTTTATGATTTAAGTAAAGGAAAACATACGGTTTTCTTGAACGGATCAGTTAATGTAAATACAATTAACTGTAGATAATAATTTGGATCATTTCTTTCTCCTAAAACTCATTAAAATTGAATGGTGTAGGAGACTGTTTGATGCAAAATTAAAAATTGAAGAGCGTATTATATAACATGCGTCTGGGGCAAATTATTTCGAAAGCATATGTCTAGAGCTAATTATCCTGAATTGTAATTCCTTTCGTCTATCACTAATGAAGATCATCTCTGCTTGAGTAAAGATAACTTCCTAGTCTGCTAGTGCAGAGATTATGAACCACACAAGAAATTTGTTAAAACCATAACAAGCGTAAAACTGTGCAATTCTTGCCATTTCAACAGGAAAATACATGAACAGCTGCTACATTTTTTGATAAACAGCCATTTTATTGACGGTATTGGTTGAACCTGAAATGTCTTGTCTACCTGGACTACGTGACGCCTTGAATATAATCACCGCGTAATACAAATAACTTTTCAGCTGCTGTTGCTTGGTGTTGTTTCAAAAGGTTGAGTTCCTCTCCTCTGAAACAACGCATTTTATTCCGGAAAAAAAAAGCTGTTTACCGTAGTTCATTTAGTCATAAGTTTATAATGATTGACTCTTCGGCAGGGAACAAGACCTTGGAAAATGCGTCTGCGTTCACAAGAAGTTCTATTTCCAAGGCAGAAGGGATCGCAGTATGCAGTGCTCTCATTTTATCTTCGGTCCTTATCATTGCAGGAAACTTGCTCACTCTGCTTCTCTTTGCAGTTACCAAACCACTTCGTAGGAAAAGTTTATTTTTAGTCATGAACATGGCGTTTGCTGATTTGATGTTAGGAGCCATCACTCTGCCCTTTTATATTTTCGTTAATGGAGGTTACTATCAGCTTTGGACAGCAAAATATGACTCTGAACACATGGCCTACAAAATATTTTATACAAGTTTCGATAACATACTTATGTATGGCTCATATATATCTGCAGCCTCTATTTCTTGCGAGAGACTTTATGCCGTATTTTGGCCGTTTAAACACCGTTCATTATCCACCAGAACATGCCGCGGCATCATTTTCTTAATTTGGACATCCGCTGTCTTGGTGTCTACATTAACAACTTTGTCATATGTTTCGAGTTCATTTGAATCTATTTTCTTGGTTTCCATCCCCGTTGCGTCGGGTCTAACAATCATCATATGTTTCTGTAACATCGCGATCTGGAGAAATTTTCAACGCGAGAGTGTTGCCTCACAGCATCGAAATGGAGCTTCGCGAAATAGACGCTTAACAAAGACCCTACTTCTGGTGTCCATGCTGGCTTTAGTATGCTGGCTTCCCTTAATTATCATGAACCTATTAGTCGTTATATATGGAACTGAGACATTAATAGTATGGGTTTATATCATGGCGAACATTTTTAATTATTCTAACTCTTTTGTAAATCCGATTGTGTATGTATTCAGAATTCCTGAGTTTCAGCAAGCGCTGCGTTCTTGCTGTACGAAGGGGAGACCAACCATTGAGATGGTTAAAATCGAGAAAAGAAACCGCCCAACGTCAGAAATAGAACTAAGAAATTTTACGAACCGATCCCACTCGCCTGCTAGTTGAGGTTAAACGAGAAGATATGGAAACTAGGTTTTATTCAGTTGAGATAAGAGGACCGCTGGCGTTGTTACTGAGTAGTGACATTCATAGGAGGCAGGAGCAATAAATGTGCAGCACTGTAAGAAAATAAGATAGCGTTCTTAGATTTTCGATTTTATGCTTCACAGAGCCCTGTTGTTGCATTGTATAGGGTTGCTTTTTGCAGTAACCAGTTAAGTATGAATTTCATCCAATAATAAAAATATGCTGTTTTATTTATCCTATCTGAGATAAAATAACCTGTCATGTTATAAAAAAAAATTAACTCTCAATAAATATGATAATTCTAGCTCTTAAGTTCTTGCTTAAATTCCCACACCTATACTTCTTGGTTTGTCAGAACATGTCAATAGCCATCTTACCGACCGCGCCCTCAAGAGTTTGAAATGAAAATACATGTTATTTGCCATTTATTATAAGGATAACGATCGGGTATTTAGATAAAGTACAATTTCAAACATATTTAAAGAACACCGAATGCATGAGACACCTGCACAGTAACTCAGCCCGTAGACATCGTTATCTGCACGTGCGAGGAAGTAAGTGGAACGTTCACTGCACGTGGTAAAGATATCATGTTTTCGATACAGAAACTCTGATATTTCATCGCCATCTATGTAATAAAACTTTGTACTTTGGCCGGTGAAAACAGCTAAGTTATTTCCGACAGTTTCCAATAAGACATAGGTTTGAAGATTAAGTACCTCTACGCCTCGAATGATATCCATGTCACGGGCAACACATTTAAAACTAGTGGAGTGGAAATTGTTGATAAGCAATCGAATTCTTTTCATGTGTGAAGACTAGGAAATAAAATGTCTCTTACTTATGTAAATAAATTCATCAGTTTAAGCACACAGATGTGTGTGATGACATAAAACCCACAATCTTATTATTAATTTCATATTATCAGACGCTAAGGCACTCGAGATCTCTCTCTCCCTCGACCAAAATGTGACTAAGCACATTTTTGAGAGATTAACCGACAAAATAGAAGAGATGGTTTATATATATATATATATTTTTTTTTTTAATAAAAATAACTAAGAATAGCTCACTGCATCGAATTACATATGTGAAGCACATTTTCTCTGAAAAGATAAATGCGCTCATCATAAAACATTAAGAAATAAAAAACATTCATAAAACATTAAGGAATATTTTCTCTTCTTGCCGAGAAATGGTGACGGTTTTTTCGGGTTAGGTAATTTGTGGACTGATAACTAAGGAGGGGTCTTAAGGAAAAACGAACCTGACGAGAGTGTTAAAGTGTGTTGCTCCGAGTGTGTTAACAAAAAAGACGTGAGCAGCTGTTCGTAATTTGATGAAAAGACATGACACCGAAAGGAAGCTGAATTCATGAGATGTTCAATTAAAATGTGCAGTCGATAGCGGAAAGGAGATCACGAAACTATCACGACCACTATAGATAGAAAAAAGTTCTCTTTAAATAGATCGTTTCTATACTGACTTAATTTACTATGTTGGCTTCCTTTGATCACCAGTACCATGGAAGTTTCATGACATGGTGACCATTTTAAATTATTCTAACTCTTTTTTCAATCTAGTTGTATTTACAATCAGAATCCCTGAGTTTCAGCAAGCGCTTCGCTCTTGCTTTACGAAGAGGAGAGAAGCCATTGAGACGGAACAAATAGAAAGAAGAAATCGAACGTTTGCACATAGAACGCCATCGATAACGCTTAGAGTATTACGAATCGATCCCACTTGCCTGTAAGAAGAATTTGAAAGGGGAAGATTTCAGTCAACTGACACTAAAGGAGCCCGGGCATTGATACTAATTAGTGAGATACATTAGAAGTAGAAGTCATATCGATGGTGTTTTGTCCGAAAATACGATAATTTCTTACCTGTTTGTTAAGATTTAGTGCGAATTTTACCCAGGGATTGAAATATGCTGTTTCATTTATCCTCTCTGAGTATAATTTCTTACCATGCTACAAACGAATAACAATCTTTAGTATTATAATTTTAGCTCTAATGTTTTATTCTCAAAGAACACCCTTTTAGAACTGCCTAATCGCCTGCGAGTGGAAATGGCGCCTTCACAACTCTTAAGAAGGATGTTCAGAGGTCACTGCTCCGAAAGCAAAAATTTTTCCTCCGAACTGTTAGCTAATCTAAGCCAAAACAATGTTTGCAAAATAATAATGAAAATAAAAACCTTCTTGAAAAACAAAACTACCATTTTGAGGAGCTGGTTGCCATGACGACAGTTGTCCTCAGAAGATATCCTATTTTCAAAACAAGATAAATTCTGGTATTTCTTTAGAGAATAATACATGGGCGCGCGTATATATGGATAAATCACGAGTGAGCGCAGGAAACTTGTAAGATTTCGAGTTGAACAAGACAAGAGAAATTCCCTATCTACAAGCAACAATGTCGTTTTTATTTATTATAGAAACACCATGGCCCTTTGCTGACAAGAGAAGTCAACTATAAATTTATTGATAAATTAAAAAGAAAAAAAATAGCATCCATGTCCCCAGATTATGGCGACTAGAACATTGAAAAATCGTATTGCTCACAGGCAGTGACGTTCAAACTCTCCCAGAAGGGGAAGAAAACCATAGATACGAAAAAGGAAAAGCTACAGTCACATATTCAGTGGCTTTGGTAATGGCGTTTCTCGCGGCTGACAACGAAAATCGACAACTAGAAGATTTGCCGCAGACCGACTTTTGCCGTTTACCTGAAAGACTCCTTCTGTCGGAAAGAACAAAGTCAATAAATGAGTTTTATAAATTGAAAATTACGCCCATTGTTGTTTTTGTAATCACGATTCAACGCATTTTTCCATCTTGAGCCTTAGCGCCAACGCACTGTACGATTGTCCATTCTTTTATTGTCATTCATTAATGAAGGCAGCTTTTCTTGTCACTAAAGAGCTATTGTGTTTAAATGATAAATAAAATAATACATGGTTGCTTCTAGACATGGAATTCCTCTTCTCTTGTTCTTCGCGTTAACTTTGCTTTCCAATGCTGAATTCTTAAGAAACTGGCGAACGAGCAAATGATAATAAAGCCACGGGTTTATTATCTTTTCATTCATCAATTCCTGCTCCTAACAATACCTGCCACATATAGCTCTTATAGAGCTATACTTTGACGAGAATAAAAGTGGCAGGTCAGTAGCGCGGCAGTTGAAAATATCGATAGTATCATACACGCCCAGCAAGAATTGGAAAACCCGACGTCAGCACGTTGCTTTCTGAGACCCAGCTTCTTTTACTATTTGAGTACGTCCTGAGTAATCCCACCGACTACTTAACTCTTAAACTCCCAAGATCTCGTTTGCAATTCTCCTTACTGTCAGCCATACAATTCCTATGATGTAAATTTAGAGAGTTTGGTATTGGATAAACTAATAATCCTCAATTGATATTTTACTTTATTCTCATCACTTCTATGCTTGATATTGTATTGATATTGTAAGGAGAAATTCTCTCTTAGTCACTCGTGGGAGGTAAAGGGGTTAAGAGAATTGGAACAATATTTGACAACTTCAACTGGAAGCTATTATTAGCACTAGTTTGGCTGAGCGGAGTTGTGTTTCAGAGCTAAGTTCTTTGACAGTACGTTGATCAAAAAAATGTTTGAGCGACAGAATGGCGAATGACACTAAAAAGAGATGTAATGTCCACAGTGAAAAGAAGTTTGTCTTGGCCAAGGAAATTAAAGTCACGAACAATTTCAAGTGCGTGTTGGCTGTCTTTAATGTATGATGCTAAAGTTTTGACGATAGGAGCCATAAATGTATCTAACTCTAGATTTTAATTTCTTAGTATTTCTCTCTCTAATTGTTACGACTCGTTTAATTCCAACGGTGTGCGATGACTTTTTGATGCAAAATTAAACAGTGCAACTGGTAGCATGTGTCTAGAGCTAATTATCCTGAAGTGTTATTACACCTTTCATTTATCACTAATGAAGATCATCTCTCAAGTAAAGATAACTTCCTAGTCTGATAGAGATTTTGAGCCACACAAGAAATTTGTTAAGCGTAAAACTGTGCAATTCTTGCCTTTTCAACAAGAAAATACATGAACAGCTGTTACGTTATTTGATAAACAGCCATTTTATTGACGGTATTAGTTGAACCTGAAATGTCTTGTCTACCTGGACTACGTGACTCTTTGAATATAATTACCACGGAAGACAAATCAGCCGTTGTTGCTTGGGGTTGTTTTAAAAGGTTGAGTGCCTCTCCTTTGAAAAAACGCATTTTATTCCGAAAAAAACTGTTTACCTTAATTCATTTAGTCATCTCTGTAATGATTGACTCATCGGCAGTGAACAAAACCATGGAGAATGCGTCTGCATTCACAAGACGTTTTCCTTCCAAGGCAGAAGGGATCGCACTATGCAGCGCTCTCATTTATCTCTGGTCCTTATCATTGCAGGAAACTTGCTCACTCTGGTTCCATTTGCAGTTACCAAACCACTACGTAGGAAAAGTTTGTTTTTAGTTCTGAATATGGCGTTTGCTGATTTGATGTTAGGAGCCTTCACTCTGCCCTCTTATATTTTCTTTGTTGGAGGTGACTATCAGCTTTGGACAGTAAAATATGACTCTGAACACATGGCCTACAAAATATTTTATACAAGTTTGGATAACATTTTTTTGTTTAGCTCGTATATATCTGCAGCCTCTATTTCTTGTGAGAGATGTTATGCCGTATTTTGGTCGTTTAAACACCGTTCATTATCCACCAGAACATACCGCGTCATCATTTTCTTAATTTGGACGCTCGCTGTCTTGGTGTCTACATTAATAAATTTGTTAAATTTCTATGATTCGAGTTCATTTGAATCTATTTTGTGTTTTTATCCCCGTTGCGTTGGGTCTAACAATCATTATATGTGTCTGTAAGTATCGCCATCTGGAGAAATTTTCAACAAGAGAGTGTTGTCTCACATAATCGAAATGGAGCTTCGCGAAACAGAAGCTTAACAAAGACCCTACTTCTGCTGTCTATACTGGCTTTAGTATGTTGGCTTCCCTTAATCATCATGGACGTATTAATCTTTACATATGTATCTGAGACATCATTATTATGTATTTATGTCATAGCGAACATTCTAAATTATTCTAACTCTTTTGTAAATCCGATTGTGTATGTATTCAGAATTCCTGAGTTTCAGCAAGCGCTGCGTTCTTGCTATACGAAGAGGAGACCAGCCATTAAGATGGTAAAAACCGAAAGACGAAACCGAAAAAATGCACCCAGAACGCCAGAGACACAGCTAAGAATATTACAAAACGACCTCAGTCACCTGCAAGTTGAGGTTGAACAAGAAGGTATAAGAAAACTAAGTTTTAGTCAGCTGAAATAAGAGGACCGTCCGCATTGTTACATAGTAGTGACATCCATAAGAGGTAGAAGCCAGAAATGTGGAGTATTGGGTAACGTTCTTAGATTTTCAATTTTTTGCCTCACAGAGCCTTTTGTTGTATAGGGTTGCTTTTTGCAGCAGCAGTTTACACCAGTTAAGTTTGAATTTCATCCAATCATAAAAATATGCTGTTTTATTTATCCTATCTGGGAAAAATATCGTCTTATTTTGCGAAAAAATAAACTCTTCATAAAAATGATAGTTCCAGCTCTTAAGTTATTGCTTAAATCAACACACCTGTACTTTTAAGATTGTCAGAATATGTCAATGGCCATCTTACGGACCGTGCCCTCAAGAGTGTGAAATAAAATAAAGAGCGTACAGCTATAACTGCCGTAACTGAAGTTTAAGAATGTTATTTTGCTATTTATTTTAGGGAGAACGATCGCCTGTTTAGATCAAATACAATTTAAAACATATTTCAAGAACGCCGAATGCACAAGACACCTGGAACGGCGGTAACTCAGCCCGTGGACAAGACACTTCAATTTTGACATAAAAATATATCACGAAATAGTTTTTTCCTCCGAATTTAGGGCTGAGTCAGGCTTGATGTTCGTAATATAAAAATAGCCCTTCGTGAAAAGTTATCAAGAGGTCATTTTTATGTGCACGTGCGAAGAGAAATTCTGATATTTCATCGATGTCCATATCACAAAACTTTGTACAAGTGGGCGATGACAGCTGAGTTCTTTCCGACAGTTTCCAATGAGACATAGGTTTGAAGATTAAGTACCTCTCCGCCTTGAATGATCTCAGTTTCACGGGCAACAAAATTGAAACTAGAGGACTGGAAATTGTTGATAGCAATCTAATTCTTTTCATTTGTGGAGACTAGGAAATAAAATGTTCTAATTTAATATACAAATTCATTCAAGTACACAGATGTATCCGGTTACCTCGACAGGAAAGAGAACTCTAATAAAACGTCCAGTAATCGTAACTTTAGTTCGTCTATTATGAACCCATAATCTGATTATTAATTTCTTATTTTCAGACGCTGAGGTACTCGAGATCTCTCTCTCCATCGGCTAAAATGTGACTAAATACATTTTTGACGGATCAACCGAGAAAAGAGGAAATGGTTTATATCATAAAATAATAACTAAAAATAGCATACTGCATAGAATTACAGATCCGTGAAGCACATTTTCTCTGAAAGGATAAAAACGGTTTTTTTTTTCCATAAAACATTAAGGAATATTTTCTCTTCTTGTCAAGAAATGGTGACGGTTTTACGGGTTGGGTAATTTAGAGACTGATCACTAGCGAAGAGTCTTAAGGAAAAAACGAACCTGACGAGAGTGTTAAAGTGTGTGGCTCCGAGTGTGTTAACAAAAAATACGTGAACAGCTGTTACAATTTGATGAAAAGACATGACGCTAAAAGGACACTGAATTCATGAGGTATTCAATTAAAATGTGCTGTCGATGACGGCAAAGAGATCACGAAATTATCACGACCACCAAAAATTGATCGATTGAGGAAATACCCTATGACTGACCCTCTGCGAGATGTTACTACAATTCCGTGTCGCGAGCTGCTTTCCTCTATTTCTTTTAGAATATCGTGTCATCCTCGGAAAACAACAAGGAAAATCGAGAAAGGGAAAAACAATCAGATACACAAACGGAAGAAGATCCATCAAATCTTTGACATAAGCAGTCCTCCAGAGTACGAGCTGTCTCTCCTTTTCGGTCCAGTCTATTGCGCGAGTCCAAAAAAGTGAAAATAAATAAATAAACAAACAAACAAAAACGCGTGTCGCGGAATTACAAAATTCGTAATTCTTTTCGACAACGTCGGCAATGGAATATAAATCAACGGGCTCTTTGATCCTGCTCATTCATGTTATGGCTTAAGTTTGTATTGATTTCTTGGACTTGTTGAATATAGGTACAGTTGAATTCGGTTTATGTGAACTTTCAAGACTTATGGAATAAGTTTTTCTTTTTATTTTTGGGCAGTTGTGTGATAAGAAAACCTTTGCATTCGTCGTGATGGGAATTGGAAAAAAAACTTGTGTGGGCTGGAGGTGGGATGGGCAGAGATCATTAGGCAGACAGTGTCCTTTTTGTTGGTGTGTGTGTGTTTGTGGGGTGGAGGGTGGGCTGGGTTTGGCATAATCAGGTATCAAATATTGCTCTTTTACGATCATTTCCACTATTGTGAAATATTCCTTGCCCGTTTCTTGATATATTTTTTTTTTTTTTTTTTTTTAACAAAGCGGCCATTGCATTTATTTATTAACAAAGCGGTCACAATCGTTCTTAATAGAATTTTAAGCCTTCATATCGTCTGATTTTCACTTACTAAGATTTGCGTAGTCACCAAACAGATGAGGGATAAAACCATCAGAAAAGTAAACAAATGGCCAGTCACGAAAACAACGCTTCGCTTCTCCCTATAAAAATTCGCTGGTTCCTCTTGTAAGCCAATAACAATATAAGACACATATGTGAAAATCATTGTTTGTACACCCCTAAACGTTGAAAATATTTCAAGTCAAAGGAACAGTCTTGGTCTCGATCCGCATTTTGTCAACAAAATGAACACATATCAGTTGAAAGGATGAAAGATACGGACCACGTGCAAAGCTGTTAATTGTTTCTCGCATATTACGCGTGTTAAATATTCAATAGTAACATCTCATTTACATCCATATCTACTTTTATTAAGTTGGTAAATTCTGTACAGACATCACACCAACCAACTCGCGCACAAAGTGAGAAGACTATATAAAGGCTTGAAATTATATTAAGAACGTGTAAGAGTGTAGTTTGATCGTCCGGGTGAGTGTAGTCCTGAGAAGGACTGTTGTCAGTAATCGTGACTGACGTTTCGACAACGTGTGCGAAAGTCATCATCAGAGTCAAATAGGTTGTTGTCAGTTGAATGTACTTAGTACGGTTTGTGTAAACTGATTGGTCAGTTTTGCCGTGATGTTATTGGCTGTAAGACTCAAGTAGCGTAGGTCAATCGTGATTGGTCGGTTTGGATCCGTTAGTGAAGTTAGGTCGTTCTGTTCGGTTCGTTTGTAATGTTAATGCCGTGAATGAGTGGTTTGTATGGTGCCGGTAGTGGTTGACACCTGTTGAGGGGAGTCAGTTCCAAGTTAGTAAACCAGCTTTCCAGGGTCAGTCGTTGAAAGTAGTCGGTGCTGCAGGTTAGGCATTGCGCAGAGTCCCAGTCAATAGTGTGTTTCGTAAGTCGGTGATGTTCAGCAATGTGATGGTTAACATCGCCTTTCCTCGTCGCTCGTTTGTGTTCAGTCAGCCTAGTTGTGAGGTTTCTGCCGCTCTCACCGATATACTGCTCCTTGTCTGTTCCTCGGTTCGTCTCTGTCTTTGATGTTAGTCAGTAACTGACGTAGTGTGGTAATAGGTTTGTGAGCGACGCGGATATTGAATGGTTGTAGGATGCGTGGGATATTCTCAGATATAGAGATTACTTCATGGAAAATGCGCGCGTACGATTTTTATTCACGAGTTGTGTAGTATCAGAAAACGAACGAGTGAGCGCAGCGAACGAGTGAGTTTTCTGATACGTATCAACGAGTGAATGAAAAGCATTTTCCATGCTGTAATGTGTTTATTTCATAGGTGCTGAGATTTTTTCGTGTTGTCTTTGGTAGACAAATAGCACAAATGGGGCGATGAAAAGCGTAAAAAAGTAGTTTAAAAATTTCTCAACAACAAGTTAATAAAAGTGCATAAAGTTCATAACACTTAAGCTTACCTGTGTTGGTCAGATATCAATCAAGTTCAATGTCTATTAATATTATAATAAAGGAAGCCATGCCAACAAACTACTTAGTGTCATGTAAAGAAAGTCAATATTCAGTTATCATCAGAGTCACTTTCCAGTTCTAAAGGCCTCAGACGTTTCCATCTCGCCGCTTCGGGACTTGACGGATCTGTGGTAAGCGTCGGAGACTGATTTACTGTGTTGATATGAATGGAAAAATTACCACCTTGAATAACAGCTCCGCTGAATAGTGCCATGGACTGCTTACCGGTATTCTGGGAGTCGGAGGACGACGGACAAGCTGTTTCAGAAGAGGACGAAGCTGGGGTACCAGCCACCACACTTGCCATCTTTAGTGCGTACGGAGATAATCAATTCACTACCATTTTGATCAGTGAGCCGGTTGCCATGACGATAGTTGTCTTCATGTGTGAAAAGAAAAATACTTCGGTTATTCGCGCGGTGAAGATATCCTGTTCTCGAAACAATATAAATATGTTATTCGCCAGCCGGGAGGTCCGTATTGGGAAAAACTGTCCCCTAGAGCAAGAGTAGGCCTCGGGCGGTACTCAAGACACAGGGCACAGTTTTTCCAAACACGGACCGACTTAGGCTGGTGAATAACATTTCTATTTTTCCCCTAAACTTAACGAAATTATTTCCGAAAGAAACGAATGATTAAAGGCTATAATTACGGCAAGATCTTCCATAAACCAAACAGTTTCTGAGTGAGTAAATGGTAAGGTTAAATGTTTGAATTCAGTTTTGTCAAATAAAATAAAAATCGATTTTTTCGGCCTCTGAAGGTGGGAAGTAACCTTAAAATAGATCAGAGGTAATGAGTAAGGGACAAAACATCAGATACGCAAACGGAGGAAAATCCATCAAATCATTGACATACGTACGGTAGTCCTCTAGACTACGAGCTGTCTCTCCTTTTCTGTTCAGTCTGTCGCGCGAGTCCAAAAACATTTAAAAAATCCCTCCGATTAAACTGACCTTTGCATTAAAACACCATGTCACAATCCCGTCTCTTCGCAGGAGAAACCTCACCAGGGAATCGCAACTGATCAAGAAGTAATGTGGGTGTATGCCCTCATATATTCTGCAACTTGCATATTTCCTGGTGATATTCGTTATTTGTTCAACAAATAACGAATATCACAAGGAAATATGTAATGCATTTACACCAAGCCCGTCTCTTCGCAGGAGAAACCTCACTAGGGAATCTCAACTGATCAAGAAGTAATGTGGGTCTATGCCCTCATATATTCTGCAAACAAATAACGAATATCACTCGGGAAATATTTAGTGAAGTAGTGCATTTACACCAAGTGCGTGAGAGCTGTAATACTTTCCGAAATCAAATACTCAAGGGAAGAGATTATTAAAGGCAGAGAAAAATTTGAGTGAGACTGCAATCGATACAAGAGCATAACTCTTCGCTCAAAGAAATAGCTTATTAGTTCTAGTAAAAGGAATTAACACGGTTCAGTGCACTGGAAAAGTTAGCGGATCAGTAATGTAAATGAACTTTACAGGAATAATTCATTATTATTTCTCTCTCTCTTTGCTATAGCCCTTTTAAATTCAATGGTGTAAAATGAATTTCTAAAGCAAAATTAGAACTAGAGCAGTGCATCGAGTATCATGAGTCAAGCGCAAATTATCCTGAAAGTGTTATTACACTGTTTATTTATAAATGTAATGAAGATAATATCTCACTGAGGGATAATAACACCCGAGTGGCCTTACGAAGAAATTTTGAGCCAAGTAAGAAACTTCTAGACGCTAAAAAATTTTGAGCCAAGTAAGAAACTTCTTGACGCTAAAAAATTTTGAGCCAAGTAAGAAACTTCTGGACGCTTAGGCGCCAAAGATCTCTTTTTTTTCCCCCTTTCTGAGCTAAATTCATCACAGTAGGATGAATGTTTAATGCAAATTTGAAAATAGGTCAACGCACTGAGTAGAGAGTTACAGCAAAATATCTTGGATGTCTCACAACAAAATTCGTTCATCACCGTCATGAAAACTATCTCTCATTGAGAAATGATAACGATATATGCCTCTTCGCTTCGAAAAAAATATATTTTTATGATTTAAGTAAAGGAAAACACAAGGTGTTCTTGAACGGATGAGTTACCGGATCAGTTAATGTAAATGCAATTAACTGTACATAATGATTTGGATCATTTCTGTCTCTTTGCTAAAACTCATTTAAATTGAACGGCGTAGGATGACTGTTAAATGCAGAATTAAAAATTGAAGAGTGTATTATGTAGTATGCGTCTGGGGCATATTATCCTGAAAGCGTTCTTTATACTCTTTGTTTATTGAAAGATGATAACGTTGGAGTCGGTTTGTTAATAAATTTTGAGCCATGCAAGAAATTTGTTAAAAACCTTATGAAGCGGTAAAACTTTGCAGAAAAACACACGAATAGCTGTCACGTTGTTTGATAAATAGACATATATCGTGACATGAAGGGCTCTACGTGCACGGTATTATTTCTAAATGCATCGTCTACCTCGACAACATGACTGCCTTGAGTAAAACTACTATGACACATAAATGACTTTTCAGCTGTTGTTATTTCGTGTCATTGCAGAAGATCGAGTTCCTCTCCTTCGAAACACCACATTCTTTCCCGATCAAACGTTTCATCTCGTAAACAATTTAGTTACAAGTTAACTTTGTTTGAGGCATTGGCAGTGAACGAAATCCTACAAATAAGTCCAAATTTGCAAGAAGTTTCCAAAGCAGAAGGCATCTGTCCTAAACATAACAGTAAACTTGCTTACTTTTAAAATAACGTTTGTGAGAAAATTGCGCACTTCTGATCGGCTGAAATGAGTACATTCCGATGTAACATGAGTACAAATTACTAATAGCGCCTTCTTTCTTGTAAATTTAGAGAGTTTGGTCTTGGATCAACTAATAATCCTCAATTGATATTTTACTTTATTCTCATCACTTCTATGCTTGATATTGTATTGATATTGAGTATCATGAGTCGAGCGCAAATCATCCTGGACGTGTTATTACACTGTTTATTTATACATTTTAAATGAAGATTATATCTCATGGAGAGATAATAACACCCGAGTGGCCTTACAAAGAAATTTTAAGCCAAGTAAGAAATTTCCAGACGCTTAGGCGCCAAAGATTTCTTTCTCCCCTCTCTGAGCTAACTTCATCACAGTAGTATGAATGTTTAATGCAAATTTGAAAATGGATCAACGTACTGAGTAGAGAGTTAAAGCAAAATATCTTAGATGTGTCACAACTAAATTCGTTCATCACCGAAATGAAAATTATCTCTCATTAAGAAATGATAACGATATATGCCTCTTCGCTCCGAAAAGAATATATTTTCATGATTTAAGTAAAGGAAAACATACCGTTCTCCTGAACAATACAATTAACTGTAGATAATAATTTGGATCATTTTGTTCTCTATGCTAAAACTCATTTAAATTGAACGGCGTAGGTGACTGTTAAATGCAAAATTAAAAATTGAAGAGTTTATTATGTAGCATGCGTCTGGGGCAAAAGAAAGACGATAACGTCCGAGTCGGTTTGTTAATAAATTATGAGCCAAGCAAGAAATTTGTTAAAAACCTTATGAAGCGCTAAACCTTTGCAGAAAAACACACGAATAGCTGTCACGTTGTTTGATGAACAGACATATATCGTGACATGAAGGGCTCTCCTTGCACGGTATTATTTCGAAATGCATTGTCTACCTCGACAACATGACTACCTTGAGTAAAATTACTATGACACATAAATGACTTTTTAGCTGTTGTTATTTCGTGTCGTTGCAGAAGATCGAGTTCCTCTCCTTTGAAATACCACATTCTTTCACGATCAAACGTTTCATCCCGTTAACCATTTAGTTACAAGTTAACTTTGTCGAGGCATCGGCAGTGAACGAAATCTCACAAATAAGTTCAAATTTGCAAGAAGTTTCCAAAGCAGAAGGCATCCGTCCTAATCATAACAGAAAACTTGCTTACTTTTAAAATAACGTCTATGAGAAAATTACGCACTTTTGATCCGCTGAAAACGAGTGCATTCCGATGTAACACGAGTGCAAATTACTAATAGCGCCTTCTTTTACTATTTGAGTACGTACTGAGTAATCCCACTGGCTACCTAACTCTTTAACTCCCAAGATCTCATCAGTAATTCTCCTCACTGTCTGCCATACAATTCTTATTATGTCAATTTGGAGAATTTGGTATTGGATCAACTAATAATCCCCTTATCGATATTTTACTTTATTCTCATCACTTCTATGCTTGATATTGTATTGATATTGTAAGGAGAGATTCTCTCTTAGTCACTCATGGGAGGTAAAGGGGTAAGGGAATTGGAACAATATTTGACAACATCAACTGAAAGCTATTATTAGCACTAGTTTGGCTGAGCGGAGTCGTGTTTCAGAGCTAGGTTCTTTGACAGTACGTTGATCAAAAATATGTTTGAGCGACAGAATGGCAAATGACACGAAAAAGAGATGTAATATCCATAGTGAAAAGAAGTTTGTCTTGGCCAAGGAAATTAACGACACGAACAATTTCAAGTGCGTGTTGGCTGTCTTTAATGTATGATGGTAAAGTTTTGATTTTGGTAGCATATGTCTAGAGCTAATTATCCTGAATTGTAATTCCTTTCGTCTATCACTAATGAAGATCATCTCTGCTTGAGTAAAGATAACTTCCTAGTCTGCTAGTGCAGAGATTATGAACCACACAAGAAATTTGTTAAAACCATAACAAGCGTAAAACTGTGCAATTCTTGCCATTTCAACAGGAAAATACATGAACAGCTGCTACATTTTTTGAGAAACAGCCATTTTATTGACGGTATTGGTTGAACCTGAAATGTCTTGTCTACCTGGACTACGTGACGCCTTGAATATAATCACCGCGTAATACAAATAACTTTTCAGCTGCTGTTGCTTGGTGTTGTTTCAAAAGGTTGAGTTCCTCTCCTCTATAACAACGCATTTTATTCCGGAAAAAAAAAAACTGTTTACCGTAGTTCATTTAGTCATAAGTTTATAATGATTGACTCGTCGGCAGGGAACAAGACCTTGGAAAATGCATCTGCGTTCACAAGAAGTTCTATTTCCAAGGCAGAAGGGATCGCAGTATGCAGTGCTCTCATTTTATCTTCGGTCCTTATCATTGCAGTAAACTTGCTCACTCTGCTTCTCTTTGCAGTTACCAAACCACTTCGTAGGAAAAGTTTATTTTTAGTCATGAACATGGCGTTTGCTGATTTGATGTTAGGAGCCATCACTCTGCCCTTTTATATTTACGTTAATGGAGGTTACTATCAGCTTTGGACAGCAAAATATGACTCTGAACACATGGCCTACCGAATATTTTATACAAGTTTCGATAGCATACTTATGTATGGCTCATATATATCTGCAGCCTCTATTTCTTGCGAGAGACTTTATGCCGTATTTTGGCCGTTTAAACACCGTTCATTATCCACCAGAACATACCGCGGCATCATTTTCTTAATTTGGACATCCGCTGTCTTGGTGTCTACATTAACAACTTTGTCATATGTTTTGAGGTCATTTGAATCTATTGTCTTGGTTTTCATCCCCGTTTCGTCGGGTCTAACACTCATCATATGTTTCTGTAACATCGCGATCTGGAGAAATTTTCAGCGCGAGAGTGTTGCCTCACAGCATCGAAATGGAGCTTCGCGAAACAGACGCTTAACAAAGACCCTACTTCTGGTGTCCATACTGGCTTTAGTATGCTGGCTTCCCTTAATTATCATGAACCTATTAGTCTATATATATGGAACTGAGACATTAATAGCATGGGTTTATTTCATGATGAACACTCTTAATTATTCTAACTCTTTTGTCAATCCGATTGTGTACGTATTTAGAATTCCTGAGTTTCAGCAAGCGCTGCGTTCTTGCTGTACGAAGGGGAGACCAGCCATTGAGATGGTTAAAATCGAGAAAAGAAACCGCCCAACGTCAGAAATAGAACTAAGAAATTTTACGAACCGATCCCACTTGCCTGCTAGTTGAGGTTAAACGAGAAGATATGGAAACTAGGTTTTATTCAGTTGAGATAAGAGGACCGCTGGCGTTGTTACTGAGTAGTGACATTCATAGGAGGCAGGAGCAATAAATGTGCAGTATTGTAAGAAAATAGGATAGCGTTCTTAGATTTTCGATTTTATACTTCACAGAGCCCTGTTGTTGTATAGGGTTGCTTTTTGCAGTAACCAGTTAAGTATGAATTTCATCCAATAATAAAAATATGCTGTTTTATTTATCCTATCTGAGATAAAATAACCTGTCATGTTATAAAAAAAAATTAACTCTCAATAAATATGATAATTCTAGCTCTTAAGTTCTTGCTTAAATTCACACACCTATACTTCTTGGTTTGTCAGAACATGTCAATAGCCATCTTACCGACCGCGCCCTCAAGAGTTTGAAATGAAAATACATGTTATTTGCCATTTATTATAAGGATAACGATCGGGTATTTAGATAAAGTACAATTTAAAACATATTTAAAGAACACCGAATGCATGAGACACCTGCACAGTAACTCAGCCCGTAGACGTCGTTATCTGCACGTGCGAGGAAGTAAGTGGAACGTTCACTGCACGTGGTAAAGATATCATGTTTTCGATACAGAAACTCTGATATTTCATCGCTATCTATGTAATAAAACTTTGTACTTTGGGCGGTGAAAACAGCTAAGCTATTTCCGACAGTTTCCAATAAGACATAGGTTTGAAGATTAAGTACCTCTACGCCTCGAATGATATCCATGTCACGGGCAACACATTTAAAACTAGTGGAGTGGAAATTGTTGATAAGCAATCGAATTCTTTTCATGTGTGAAGACTAGGAAATAAAATGTCTCTTACTTATGTAAATAAATTCATCAGGTAAAGCACACAGATGTGTGTGATGACATAAAACCCACAATCTTATTATTAATTTCATATTATCAGACGCTGAGGCACTCGAGATCTCTCTCTCCCTCGACCAAAATATGACTAAGTACATTTTTGAGAGATTAACCGACAAAATAGAAGAGATGGTTTATATATATATATATTTTTTGATAAAAATAACTAAAAATAGCTCACTGCATCGAATTACACATATGTGAAGCACTTTTTCTCTGAAAGGATATACACGCTTTTTTTTTTTTTCATAAAACATTAAGGAATATTTTCTCTTCTTGCCGAGAAATGGTGACGGTTTTTTCGGGTTAGGTAATTTGTGGACTGATAACTAATGAGGGGTCTTAAGGAAAAACGAACCTGACGAGAGTGTTAAAGTGTGTGGCTCCGAGTGTGTTAACAAAAAATACATGAGCAGCTGTTCGTAACTTGATGAAAAGACATGACACCGAAAGGAAGCTGAATTCATGAGATGTTCAATTAAAATGTGCTGTCGATAGCGGAAAGGAGATCACGAAACTATCACGACCACTATAGATAGAAAAAAGTTCTCTTTAAATAAATCGCTTCTATACTGACTTAATTTTCTATGTTGGCTTCCTTTGATCACCAGTACCATGGAAGTTTCATGACATGGTGACCATTTTAAATTATTCTAACTCTTTTTTCAATCCAGAATATTACGAGTCGATCCCACTCGCCTGTAAGAAGAATTTGAAAGGGGAAGATTTCAATCAACTGACACTAGAGGAGCCCGGGCATTGATACTAATTAGTGAGATACATTAGAAGTAGAAGTCATATCGATGGTGTTTTGTCCGAAAATACGATAATTTCTTACCTGTTTGTTAAGATTTAGTGCGAATTATACCCAGGGATTGAAATATGCTGTTTCATTTATCCTCTCTGAGTATAATTTCTTACCATGCTACAAACGAATAACAATCTTTAGTATTATAATTTTAGCCCTAATGTTATTGCTCAAAGAACACCCCTTTAGAACTTCCTAATCGCCTGCGAGTGGAAATGGCGCCTTCACAACTCTTAAGAAGAATGTTCAGAGGTCACTGCTCCTAAAGCAAAAATTATTCCTCCGAACTGTTAGCTAATCTAAGCCAAAACAATGTTTGCAAAATAATAATGAAAATAAAACCCTTCTTGAAAAACAAAACTACCATTTTGAGGAGCTGGTTGCCATGACGACAGTTGTCCTCATGTCTGAAAAGAGAAATGCTATGGTAATTCGCGCAGTGAAGATATCCTATTTTCAAAACAAGATAAATTCTGGTATTTCTTTAGAGAATAATACATGGGCGCGCGTATATATGAATAAATCACGAGTGAGCGCAGCAAACTTGTAAGATTTCGAGTTGAACAAGACAAGAGAAATTCCCTATCTACAAGCAACAATGTCGTTTTTATTTACTATAGAAACACCATGGCCCTTTGCTGACAAGAGAACTCAACTATAAATTTATTGATAAATTAAAAAGGAAAAAAATAGCATCCATGTCCCCAGATTATGGCGGCTAGAACATTGAAAAATCGTTTTGCTCACAGGCAGTGACGTTCAAACTCTCCCAGAAGGGGAAGAAAACCATATATACGAAAAAGGAAAACCTACAGTCAAATATTCAGTGGCTTTGGTTATGGCGTTTCTCGCGGCTGACAACGAAAATCGACAACTAGAAGATTTGCCGCAGACCGACTTTTGCCGTTTACCTGAAAGACTCCTTCTGTCGGAAAGAACAAAGTCAATAAATGAGTTTTATAAATTGAAAATTACGCCCATTGTTGTTTTTGTAATCACGATTCAACGCATTTTTCCATCTTGAGCCTTAGCGCCAACGCACTGTACGATTGTCCATTCTTTTATTGTCATTCATTAATGAAGGCAGCTTTTCTTGTCACCAAAGAGCTATTGTGTTTAAATGATAAATAAAATAATACATGGTTGCTTCTAGACATGGAATTCCTCTTCTCGTGTTCTTCGCGTTAACTTTGCTTTCCAATGCTGAATTCTTAAGAAACTGGCGAACGAGCAAATGATAATAAAGCCACGGGTTTGTTATCTTTTCATTCATCAATTCCTGCTCCTAACAATACCTGCCACATATAGCTCTTATAGAGCTATACTTTGACGAGAATAAAAGTGACAGGTCAGTAGCGCGGCAGTTGAAAATATCGATAGTATCATACACGCCCAGCAAGAATTGGAAAACCCGACGTCAGCACGTTGCTTTCTGAGACCCAGCTTCTTTTACTATTTGAGTACGTCCTGAGTAATCCCACCGAGGACTTAACTCTTAAACTCCCAAGATCTCGTTTGCAATTCTCCTCACTGTCAGCCATACAATTCCTACGATGTAAATTTTGAGAGTTTGGTATTGGATAAACTAATAATCCTCAATTGATATTTTACTTTATTCTCATCACTTCTATGCTTGATATTGTATTGATATTGTAAGGAGAAAATCTCTCTTAGTCACTCGTGGGAGGTAAAGGGGTTAAGAGAATTGGAACAATATTTGACAACTTCAACTGGAACCTATTATTAGCACTAGTTTGGCTGAGCGGAGTCGTGTTTCAGAGCTAAGTTCTTTGACAGTACGTTGATCAAAAAAATGTTTGAGCGACAGAATGGCGAATGACAGTAAAAAGAGATGTTATGTCCATAGTGAAAAGAAGTTTGTCTTGGCCAAGGAAATTAAAGTCACGAACAATTTCAAGTGCGTGTTGGCTGTCTTTAATGTATGATGGTAAAGTTTTGACGATAGGAGCCATAAATGTATCTAACACTAGATTTTAATTTCTTAGTATTTCTCTCTCTAATTGTTACGACTCGTTTAAATTTCAACGGTGTGCGATGACTTTTTGATGCAAAATTAAACAGTGCAACTGGTAGCATGTGTCTAGAGCTAATTATCCTGAAGTGTTATTACACCTTTCGTTTATCACTAATGAAGATCATCTCTCAAGTAAAGATAACTTCCTAGTCTGCTAGAGATTTTGAGCCACACAAGAAATTTGTTAAAACCTTAACAAGCGTAAAACTGTGCAATTCTTGCCTTTTAAACAGGAGAAAATACATGAACTGCCATTACGTTTTTTGATAAACAGCCATTTTATTGACGGTATTAGTTAAACCTGAAATGTCTTGTGACTCCTTGAATATAATTACCACGAAAGACAAATATCTTCTCAGCCGTTGTTGCTTGGTGTTGTTTCAAAAGGTTGAGTGCCTCTCCTTTGAAAAAACGCATTTTATTCCGAAAAAAACTGTTAACCTTAATTCATTTAGTCATCTCTGTAATGATTGACTCATCGGCAGTGAACAAAACCATGGAGAATGCGTCTGCATTCACAAGACGTTTTCCTTCCAAGGCAGAAGGGATCGCACTATGCAGCGCTCTCATTTTATCTCTGGACCTTATCATTGCAGGAAACTTGCTCACTCTGGTTCCATTTGCAGTTACCAAACCACTACGTAGGAAAAGTTTGTTTTTAGTTCTGAATATGGCGTTTGCTGATTTGATGTTAGGAGCCTTCACTCTGCCCTCTTATATTTTCTTTGTTGGAGGTGACTATCAGCTTTAGACAGTAAAATATGACTCTGAACACATGGCCTACAAAATATTTTATACAAGTTTGGATAACATTTTTTTGTTTAGCTCGTATATATCTGCAGCCTCTATTTCTTGTGAGAGATGTTATGCCGTATTTTGGCCGTTTAAACACCGTTCATTATCCACCAGAACATACCGCGTCATCATTTTCTTAATTTGGACGCTCGCTGTCTTGGTGTCTACATTAATAAATTTGTTAAATTTCTATGATTCGAGTTCATTTGAATCTATTTTGTATGTTTTTATCCCCGTTGCGTTGGGTCTAACAATCATTATATGTGTCTGTAACATCGCCATCTGGAGAAATTTTCAACAAGAGAGTGTTGTCTCACATAATCGAAATGGAGCTTCGCGAAACAGAAGCTTAACAAAGACCCTACTTCTGTTGTCCATACTGGCTTTAGTATGTTGGCTTCCCTTAATCATCATGGACGTATTAATCTTTACATATGTATCTGAGACATCATTATTATGTATTTATGTCATAGCGAACATTCTAAATTATTCTAACTCTTTTGTAAATCCGATTGTGTATGTATTCAGAACTCCTGAGTTTCAGCAAGCGCTGCGTTCTTGGTATACGAAGAGGAGACCAGCCATTAAGATGGTAAAAACCGAAAGACGAACCGAAAAGTTGCACCCATAAAGCCAGAGACAGCTAAGAATATTACGAAACGACCTCAGTCACCTGCAAGTTGAGGTTGAACAAGAAGATATAAGAAAACTAAGTTTTAGTCAGCTGAGATAAGAGGACCGTCCGCATTGTTACATAGTAGTGACATCCATAATAGGCAGAAGCCATAAATGTGGAGTATTGGATAACGTTCTTAGATTTTCAATTTTTTGCCTCACAGAGCCTTAAGTTATTGCTTAAATTTGCAGCAGCAGTTTACACCAGTTAAGTTGAATTTCATCCAATCATAAAAATATGCTGTTTTATTTATCCTATCTGGGCAAAATGTCGTCTCATTTTTCGAAAAAATAAACTTTTCATAAATATGATAGTTCCAGTTCTTAAGTTATTGCTTAAATTAACAGACCTCTACTTTTAAGATTGTCAGAACATGTCAATGGCCATCTTACGGACCGTGCCCTCAAGAGTGTGAAATAAAAAATAAGATAAAATAAAGAGCGTACAGCTATAACTGCCGTAACTGAAGTTTAAGAATGTTATTTTGCTATTTATTTTAGGGAGAACGATCGCCTGTTTAGATCAAATACAATTTAAAACATACTTCAAGAACACCGAATGCACAAGACACCTGCAACGGCGGTAACTCAGCCCGTGGACAAGACACTTCAATTTTGACATAAAAATATATCACGAAATAGTTTTTTCCTCCGAATTTAGGGCTGAGTCAGGCTTGATGTTCGTAATATAAAAATAGCCCTTCGTGAAAAGTTATCAAGAGGTCATTTTTATGTGCACGTGCGAAGAGAAATTCTGATATTTCATCGATGTCCATATCACAAAACTTTGTACAAGTGGGCGATGACAGCTGAGTTCTTTCCGACAGTTTCCAATGAGACATAGGTTTGAAGATTAAGTACCTCTCCGCCTTGAATGATCTCAGTTTCACGGGCAACAAAATTGAAACTAGAGGACTGGAAATTGTTGATAGCAATCTAATTCTTTTCATTTGTGGAGACTAGGAAATAAAATGTTCTAATTTAATATACAAATTCATTCAAGCACACAGATGTATCCGGTTACCTCGACAGGAAAGAGAACTCTAATAAAACGTCCAGTAATCGTAACTTTAGTTCGTCTATTATGAACCCATAATCTGATTATTAATTTCTTATTTTCAGACGCTGAGGTACTCGAGATCTCTCTCTCCATCGGCTAAAATGTGACTAAATACATTTTTGACGGATCAACCGAGAAAAGAGGAAATGGTTTATATCATAAAATAATAACTAAAAATAGCATACTGCATAGAATTACAGATCCGTGAAGCACATTTTCTCTGAAAGGATAAAAACGGTTTTTTTTTTTCCAAAAAACATTAAGGAATATTTTCTCTTCTTGTCAAGAAATGGTGACGGTTTTACGGGTTGGGTAATTTAGAGACTGATCACTAACGAAGAGTCTTAAGGAAAAACGAAATTGTGTTAACAAAAAATACGTGAACAGCTGTTACAATTTGATGAAAAGACATGATGCTAAAAGGACACTGAATTCATGAGGTATTCAATTAAAATGTGCTGTCGATGACGGCAAAGAGATCACGAAATTATCACGACCACCAAAAATTGATCGATTGAGGAAATACCCTATGACTGACCCTCTGCGAGAAGATGTTACTGCAATTCCGTGTCGCGAGCTGCTTTCCTCTATTTCTTTTAGAATATCGTGTCATCCTCGGAAAACAACAAGGGAAATCGAGAAAGGGAAAAAACAATCAGATACACAAACGGAAGAAGATCCATCAAATCTTTGACATAAGCAGTCCTCTAGAGTACGAGCTGTCTCTCCTTTTCGGTCCAGTCTATTGCGCGAGTCCAAAAAAGTGAAAAATAAATAAATAAACAAACAAACAAAAACGCGTGTCGCGGAATTACAAAATTCGTAATTCTTTTCGACAACGTCGGCAATGGAATATAAATCAACGGGCTCTTTGATCCTGCTCATTCATGTTATGGCTTAAGTTTGTATTGATTTCTTGGACTTGTTGAATATAGGTACAGTTGAATTCGGTTTATGTGAACTTTCAAGACTTATGGAATAAGTTTTTCTTTTTATTTTTGGGCAGTTGTGTGATAAGAAAACCTTTGCATTCGTCGTGATGGGAATTGGAAAAAAAACTTGTGTGGGCTGGAGGTGGGATGGGCAGAGATCATTAGGCAGACAGTGTCCTTTTTGTTGGTGTGTGTGTGTGTTTGTGGGGTGGAGGGTGGGCTGGGTTTGGCATAATCAGGTATCAAATATTGCTCTTTTACGATCATTTCCACTATTGTGAAATATTCCTTACCCGTTTCTTGATATCTTTTTTTTTTCTTTTTCTTTTTTAACAAAGCGGCCATTGCATTTAGTTATTAACAAAGCGGTCACAATCGTTCTTAATAGAATTTTAAGCCTTCATATCGTCTGATTTTCACTTACTAAGATTTGCGTAGTCACCAAACAGATGAGGGATAAAACCATCAGAAAAGTAAACAAATGGCCAGTCACAAAAACAACGCTTCGCTTCTCCCTATAAAAATTCGCTGGTTCCTCTTGTAAGCCAATAACAATATAAGACACATATGTGAAAATCATTGTTTGTACACCCCTAAACGTTGAAAATATTTCAAGTCAAAGGAACAGTCTTGGTCTCGATCCGCATTTTGTCAACAAAATGAACACATATCGGTTAAAAAGAGGAAATATACGGACCACGTGCAAAGCTGTTAATTGTTTCTCGCATATTACGCGTGTTAAATATTCAATAGTAACATCTCATTTACATCCATATCTACTTTTATTAAGTTGGTAAATTCTGTACAGACATCACACCAACCAACTCGCGCACAAAGTGAGAAGACTATACAAAGGCTTGAAATTATATTAAGAACGTGTAATAGTGTAGTTTGATCGTCCGGGTGAGTGTAGTCCCGAGAAGGACTGTTGTCAGTAATGGTGACTGACGTTTCGACAACGTGAGCGGAAGTCATCATCAGAGTCAAATAGGTTGTTGTCAGTCGAATGTACTTAGTACGGTTTGTGTAAACTGATCGGTCAGTTTTGCCGTGATGTTATTGGCTGTAAGACTCAAGTGGCGTAGGTCAATCGTGATTGGTCGGTTTGGATCCGTTAGTGAAGTTAGGTCGTTCTGTTCGGTTCGTTTGTAATGTTAATGTCGTGAATGAGTCGTTTGTATGGTGCCGGTAGTGGTTGACACCTGTTGAGGGGAGTCTGTTCCAAGTTAGTAAACCAGCTTTCCAGGGTCAGTCGTTGAAAGTAGTCGGTGCTGCAGGTTAGGCATTGCGCAGAGTCCCAGTCAATAGTGTGTTTCGTAAGTCGGTGATGTTCAGCAATGTGATGGTTAACATCGCCTTTCCTCGTCGCTCGTTTGTGTTCAGTCAGCCTAGTTGTGAGGTTTCTGCCGCTCTCACCGATATACTGCTCCTTGTCTGTTCCTCGGTTCGTCTCTGTCTTTGATGTTAGTCAGTAACTGACGTAGTGTGGTAATAGGTTTGTGAGCGACGCGGATATTGAATGGTTGTAGGATGCGTGGGATGTTCTCAGATATAGAGATTACTTCATGGAAAATGCGCGCGTACGATTTTTATTCACGAGTTGTGTAGTATCAGAAAACGAACGAGTGAGCGCAGCGAACGAGTGAGTTTTCTGATACGTATCAACGAGTGAAAGAAAATCGTACAAAGCATTTTCCGTGCTGTAATGTGTTTATTTCATAGGTGCTGAGATTTTTTCGTGTTGTCTTTGGTAGACAAATAGCACAAATGGGGCGATGAAAAGCGAAAAAAAGTAGTTTAAAAATTTCTCAAAAACAAGTTAATAAAAGTGCATAAAGTTCATAACACTTAAGCTTACCTGTGTTGGTCAGATATCAATCAAGTTCAATGTCTATTAATATTATAATAAAGGAAGCCATGCCAACAAACTACTTAGTGTCATGTAAAGAAAGTCAATATTCAGTTATCATCAGAGTCACTTTCCAGTTCTAAAGGCCTCAGACGTTTCCATCTCGCCGCTTCGGGACTTGACGGATCTGTGGTAAGCGTCGGAGACTGATTTACTGTGTTGATATGAATGGAAAAATTACCACCTTGAATAGCAGCTTCGCTGAATAGTGCCATGGACTGCTTACCGGTATTCTGGGAGTCGGAGGACGACGGACAAGCTGTTTCAGAAGAGGACGAAGCTGGGGTACCAGCCACCACACTTGCCATCTTTAGTGCGTACGGAGATAATCAATTCGCTAATGAATTCATTCAACTCAGCCGCTGGAATATCTTCAATTTTCCTGTCTTCGTCCTTCGTTTTCAAAAATCTTTCAAGCAATCTTACATCTTTTTCAGTTTTTTTAAGCGGTATTTTTGTTTTCGTGTTCTAAAATGAATTCTTCAACTGAGTAAACAGAAGCGAACCTTCCCTCGGCCATTTTTTCAAAGCGCGCGGGTTTTGTGCAACGGCTCTCGCATGACGTTCTCTTCAGTACCTTCATTCATCATTAGTGAAATTTCGTCGTTCGCGTTGCTGATTGGACGAACGATAATTTTTCACGGTGAAATTTTGTCGTTCGTACTCCTGATTGGCTATATTTAGAATCAGTACGAATTTTATTCACTACGATTTTTGTGGGTAAATCTCAGTACCTATGAAATAAATGCCCTTTATGTATGGTATAGTGGCTGTGGTCGTAGGAGTTACGTTGTCGTTAGCTTCGGTAGTAGTAGTAGGTCTGTGAGTGTTACGTTGGATGAAGTCTTCGTTGTAGTTGTTCTTTGAAATAGTATATAATATCTTAGAGTATAATTTCTTACCATGCTACAAACGAATCACAATTTTTAGTATGATGTAATTGTAGCCCTAATGTTATTGCTCAAATGACATCCCTTTGGACTTTCCTAATCGCCTGCAAGTGGAAATTAAATCGATTTAAGAGGAATGTTCTGAGGTCACTGCTCCAAAAGCAAAACTTTTTCCTCCAACTGTAAGCTGATCTAAGCCAAAACAGTGTTTGCAAAAAAATGATGAAAATGAAACCCCTCTTTGAAAAAAAAAAACTACCATTTTGATCAGTGAGCCGGTTGCCATGACGATAGTTGTCTTCATGTGTGAAAAGGAAAATACTTTGGTTATTCGTGCGGTGAAGATATCCTGTTCTCGAAACAATATAAATATGTTATTCGCCAGCCAGGAGGTCCGTATTGGGAAAAACTGTGCCCGAGAGCAAGAGTAGGCCTCGGGCGGTACTCAAGACACAGGGCACAGTTTTTCCAAACACGGACCGACTTAGGCTGGTGAATAACATTTCTATTTTTCCCCTAAACTTAACGAAATTATTTCCGAAAGAAACGAATGATTAAAGGCTATAATTACGGCAAGATCTTCCATAAACCAAACAGTTTCTGAGTGAGTAAATGGTAAGGTTAAATGTTTGAATTCAGTTTTGTCAAATAAAATAAAAATCGATTTTTTCGGCCTCTGAAGGTGGGAAGTAACCTTAAAATAGATCAGAGGTAATGAGTAAGGGACAAAACATCAGATACGCAAACGGAGGAAAATCCATCAAATCATTGACATACGTACGGTAGTCCTCTAGACTACGAGCTGTCTCTCCTTTTCTGTTCAGTCTGTCGCGCGAGTCCAAAAACATTTAAAAAATCCCTCCGATTAAACTGACCTTTGCATTAAAACACCATGTCACAATCCCGTCTCTTCGCAGGAGAAACCTCACCAGGGAATCTCAACTGATCAAGAAGTAATGTGGATGTATGCCCTCATATATTCTGCAACTTGCATATTTCCTGGTGATATTCGTTATTTGTTCAACAAATAACGAATATCACTAGGAAATATGTAATGCATTTACACCAAGCCCGTCTCTTCGCAGGAGAAACCTCACTAGGGAATCTCAACTGATCAAGAAGTAATGTGGGTCTATGCCCTCATATATTCTGCAAACAAATAACGAATATCACCCGGGAAATATTTAGTGAAGTAGTGCATTTACACCAAGTGCGTGAGAGCTGTAATACTTTCCGAAATCAAATACTCAAGGGAAGAGATTATTAAAGGCAGAGAAAAATTTGAGTGAGACTGCAATCGATACAAGAGCATAACTCTTCGCTCAAAGAAATAGCTTATTAGTTCTAGTAAAAGGAATTAACACGGTTCACTGCACTGGAAAAGTTAGCGGATCAGTAATGTAAATGAACTTTACAGGAATAGTTCATTATTATTTCTCTCTCTCTTTGCTATGGCTCTTTTAAATTCAATGGTGTAAAATGAATTTCTAAAGCAAAATAAGAACTAGAGCAGTGCATCGAGTATCATGAGTCAAGCGCAAATTATCCTGAAAGTGTTATTACACTGTTTATTTATGAATGTAATGAAGATAATATCTCACTGAGGGATAATAACACCCGAGTGGCCTTACGAAGAAATTTTGAGCCAAGTAAGAAACTTCTAGACGCTAAAAAATTTTGAGCCAAGTAAGAAACTTACAGACGCTAAAAAATTTTGAGCCAAGTAAGAAACTTCTAGACGCTTAGGCGCCAAAGATCTCTTTTTTTCCCCTTTCTGAGCTAAATTCATCACAGTAGGATGAATTTTTAATGCAAATTTGAAAATAGGTCAACGCACTGAGTAGAGAGTAACAGCAAAATATCTTGGATGTGTCACAACAAAATTCGTTCATCACCGTCATGAAAACTATCTCTCATTGAGAAATGATAACGATATATGCCTCTTCGCTTCGAAAAAAATATATTTTTATGATTTAAGTAAAGGAAAACACAAGGTGTTCTTGAACGGATGAGTTACCGGATCAGTTAATGTAAATGCAATTAACTGTACATAATGATTTGGATCATTTCTGCCTCTTTGCTAAAACTCATTTAAATTGAACGGCGTAGGATGACTGTTAAATGCAGAATTAAAAATTGAAGAGTGTATTATGTAGCATGCGTCTGGGGCATATTATCCTGAAAGCGTTCTTTATACTCTTTGTTTATTGAAAGATGATAACGTTGGAGTCGGTTTGTTAATAAATTTTGAGCCATGCAAGAAATTTGTTAAAAACCTTATGAAGCGGTAAAACTTTGCAGAAAAACACTCGAATAGCTGTCACGTTGTTTGATAAATAGACATATATCGTGACATGAAGGGCTCTACGTGTACGGTATTATTTCTAAATGCATCGTCTACCTCGACAACATGACTGCCTTGAGTAAAATTACTATGACACATAAATGACTTTTCAGCTGTTGTTATTTCGTGTCATTGCAGAAGATCGAGTTCCTCTCCTTCGAAACACCACATTCTTTCCCGATCAAACGTTTCATCCCGTAAACAATTTAGTTACAAGTTAACTTTGTTTGAGGCATTGGCAGAGAACGAAATCCTACAAATAAGTCCAAATTTGCAAGAAGTTTCCAAAGCAGAAGGCATCTGTCCTAAACATAACAGTAAACTTGCTTACTTTTAAAATAACGTTTGTGAGAAAATTGCGCACTTCTGATCGGCTGAAATGAGTACATTCCGATGTAACATGAGTACAAATTACTAATAGCGCCTTCTTTCTTGTAAATTTAGAGAGTTTGGTATTGGATCAACTAATAATCCTCAATTGATATTTTACTTTATTCTCATCACTTCTATGCTTGATATTGTATTGATATTGAGTATCATGAGTCGAGCGCAAATCATCCTGGACGTGTTATTACACTGTTTATTTATACATTTTAAATGAAGATTATATCTCATGGAGAGATAATAACACCCGAGTGGCCTTACAAAGAAATTTTTAAGCCAAGTAAGAAATTTCCAGACGCTTAGGCGCCAAAGATTTCTTTCTCCCCTCTCTGAGCTAACTTCATCACAGTAGTATGAATGTTTAATGCAAATTTGAAAATGGATCAACGTACTGAGTAGAGAGTTAAAGCAAAATATCTTAGATGTGTCACAACTAAATTCGTTCATCACCGAAATGAAAATTATCTCTCATTAAGAAATGATAACCATATATGCCTCTTCGCTCCGAAAAGAATATATTTTCATGATTTAAGTAAAGGAAAACATACCGTTCTCCTGAACAATGCAATTAACTGTAGATAATAATTTGGATCATTTTGTTCTCTATGCTAAAACTCATTTAAATTGAACGGCGTAGGATGACTGTTAAATGCAAAATTAAAAATTGAAGAGTGTATTATGTAGCATGCGTCTGGGGCATATTATCCCGAAAGCGTTCTTCATATTATTTGTTCATTGAAAGAGGACAACGTCCGAGTCGGTTTGTTAATAAATTTTGAGCCAAGCAAGAAATTTGTTAAAAACCTTATGAAGCGCTAAACCTTTGCAGAAAAACACACGAATAGCTGTCACGTTGTTTGATGAACAGACATATATCGTGACATGAAGGGCTCTACGTGCACGGTATTATTTCGAAATGCATTGTCTACCTCGACAACATGACTACCTTGATTAAAATTACTATGACACATAAATGACTTTTCAACTGTTGTTATTTCGTGTCGTTGCAGAAGATCGAGTTCCTCTCCTTTGAAATACCACATTCTTTCACGATCAAACGTTTTATCCCGTTAACCATTTAGTTACAAGTTAACTTTGTTCGAGGCATCGGCAGTGAACGAAATCTCACAAATAAGTTCAAATTTGCAAGAAGTTTCCAAAGCAGAAGGCATCCGTCTTAATCATAACAGAAAACTTGCTTACTTTTAAAATAACGTCTATGAGAAAATTACGCACCTCTGATCGGCTGAAAACGAGTGCATTCCGATGTAACACGAGTGCAAATTACTAATAGCGCCTTCTTTTACTATTTGAGTACGTGCTGAGTAATCCCACCGGCTACCTAACCCTTCAACTCCCAAGATCTCATCAGTAATTCTCCTTACTATCTGCCATACAATTCTTATGATGTCAATTTGGAGAATTTGGTATTGGATCAACTAATAATCCCCTAATTGATATTTTACTTTATTCTCATCACTTCTATGCTTGATATTGTATTGATATTGTAAGGAGAGATTCTCTCTTAGTCACTTATGGGAGGTAAAGGGTTAGGGGAATTGGAAGAATATTTGACAACTTCAACTGGAAGCTTTTATTAGCACTAGTTTGGCTGAGGGGAGTAGTGTTTGAGAGCTAGGTTCTTTGACAGTACGTTAATCAAAAAAAATGTTTGAGCGACAGAATGGCAAATGACACGAAAAAGAGATGTAATATCCGTAGTGAAAAGAAGTTTGTCTTGGCTAAGGAAATTAACGACACGAACAATTTCAAGTGCGTGTTGGCTGTCTTTAATGTATGATGGTAAAGTTTTGACGATAGGAGTCATAAATGTACTTAACTCTACATTATAATTTCCTAGTATTTCTTTCTCTAATTGTTACGACTCGTTTAATTTCAAAGATGTACGATGACTGTTTGATGGAAAATTAAACTTTGCATCGAGTAGCATGTGTCTAGAGCTAATTATCCTGAAGTGTTATTAAACCTTTCGTCTATCACTAATGAAGATTATCTCTCATTGGGAAAGGACAACGTCCTAGTCTGTTAGTGTAGAGATTTTGAGTCACATAAGAAGTTTGTTAAAACCTTAACAAGTGTAAAAATGTACAATTCTTGCCATTTCAACAGGAAAATACATGAACAGCTGTTACGTTCTTTGATGAAAAGCCATTTTATTGACAGTATTAGTTGAACCTGAAATGTCTTGTCTACCTGGACTACGTGACTCCTTGAATATAAAAAAAAGACTGTTTACCGTAGTTCATTTAGATTGACTCGTCGGCAGTGAATAAAACCATGGAGAATGCGTCTGCATTCACAAGAAGTTTTCCCTCCAAGGAAGAAGGGATCGCACTATGCAGCGCTCTAATTTTATCTTCGGTCCTTATCATTGCAGGAAACTCGCTAACTCTGGTTCTCTTTGCAGTTACCAAACCACTTCGTAGGAAAAGTTTATTTTTAGTTATGAACATGGCGTTTGCTGATTTGATGTTAGGAGCGTTCACTCTGCCCTTTTACATTTACCTCGTTGGAGATGACTATCAGCTTTGGACAGCAAAATATGACTTTGAACACATGGCTTACAAAATATTTTACACAAGTTTCGATGATACGTTTTTGTTAGGCTCGTATATGTCTGCAGCCTCTATTTCTTGTGAGCGATTTTATGCCGTATTTTGGCCCTTTAAACACCGTTCATTATCCACCAGAACATACCGCATCGCCATTTTCTTACTTTGGTCATCCGCTGTCTTGTTGTCTACATTAATGACTTTGTTAAACGTTTCGAGTTCATTTGAATCTGTTTTGTATGTTTTTATCCCCGTGGTGTTGGGTCTAACAATCATCGTATGTGTCTGTAATATCGCCATCTGGAGAAATTTTCAACACCAGAGTGTTGCTTCACAGCATCGAAATGGAGCTTCGCGAAACCGACGCTTAACAAAGACCCTACTTCTGGTTTCCATACTAGCTTTATTATGTTGGCTTCCCATAGTCATCTTGAACATTTTAATCTATATAACTAAGACATCAATACCATGGAAGTTTTATTACATGGTGAACATTCTAAATTATTCTAACTCTTTTGTCAATCCGATTGTGTATGTATTCAGAATTCCTGAGTTTCAGCAAGCGCTGCGTTTGTGTTGCACGAAGAGCAGACCAGCCATTAAGATGGTAAAAACTCAAAGGAAGAAACCGAACGGCTGCACTTAAAACGCCAGAGATAGAACTGAGAATATTCAGAAACGATCTCACTCGCCTGCAAGTTATTGTTGAACGATAATATATGGAAACTAAGTTTTAGTTTGCTGAGATAAGAGGATCGTCCGCGTTGTTACTGAGTAGTGACATCCATAGGAGGAAGGAGCCATAAATATGGAGTATTGTAAATGAATAGGATAACGTTCTTAGATTTTCAATTTTTTACTTCACAGAGCCCTGTTGTTGTTCTATAGGGTTGCTTTTTGCAGCAGAAGTTCACACAAGTTAAGTCTGAATTTCATCCAGTGATGAAAATATACAGTTTTATTTATCTTATCTAGGCAAAATATCTTCTCATTTTACGAAAAAAATAAACTCTTCATAAATATGATGATTCTAGCTCTTAAGTTATAGCTCAAATTCACACACCTATACTTTTAAGGTTGTCAGAACATGTCATTGACCATCTTGCGGACCGCGCCCTCAAGAGTGTGAAATAAAAAATAAGATAAAATAAAGAGCGTACAGCTTTCCCTGCCTCCGAACTAAAATCAAGTAAAGTTTAATCAAGTTGTTTTGCCATTTATTATCGCTCGTTTAGATCAAATACAATTTAAAATATATATGAAGAACACCGAATGCACAAGACACCTGCAGGTAACTCAGCCCGTGGACAAGACCCTTTAATTTTGACATAAAAAAATTACCACGAAATAAATTTTTCCTCTGAACTTAAGGTTGAATCAAACTTGACGTTCGTAATATAAAAGAGAGCCCTTCGTGAAAAGTAAAACCGCCATTTTGCTAAAGCGGGTTACCATGATGTCATTTTTATCCGCACGTGCGAAGAGATAAGGGGAACGTTCACCGCGCGTGGTAAAGATATCATGTTTTCGAAACAGAAATTCTGGTATTTCATCGATATATATATATATATATCATAAAACTTTAGACAAGTGGGCGACGAAAACAGCTGAGTTCTTTCCGACAGTTTCCAATGAGACATAGGTTTGAAGATGAAGTACCTCTACGCCTCGAATGATCTCAGTTTCACGGGCATCATAATTAAAACTAGTAGAGTGGAAATTGTTGATAAGTAATCGAATTATTTTCATGTGTGGAGACTAGGAAATAAAATGCCTCTTTTTTGTCAAAAAATAAATTCATTCAAGCACACAGATGTATTTGGTTATATCGACAGGAAAGAGAACTCTAATAAAACGTCTAGTAATCGTAACTTTAGTTCATCTTTAAAACCCATAATCTGATTATTAATTTCATATTTCCAGACGCTGAGACACTCGAAGCAAGCGCGTGAGAGCTGAGATACTTTCCGAAAATTAAATACTCAAGGGAAAAGAGTATTAAAGGCAGATAAAAATTTGAATGAGACTGCTATCGATATAAGAGCATGCCTCTTCGCTCCAAGAAATAACTTCTTAGTTCTAGTAAAAAGAATTCACAAGGTTCACTGCACCGGAAAAGTCAGCGGATCAATAATGTAAATGAACTTTACTTAAGATAGTAATTCATAAGTATTTCTCTCTCTCTTTGCTATGGCTCTTTTAAATTCAACGGTGTAGAATGAATTTCTAAGGCAAAATTAGAACTAGAGAAGTGCATCGAGTATCATGAGTCGAGTGCAAATCATCCTGGAAGTGTTATTACACTGTTTATTTATACATTTTAAATGAAGATTACATCTCATGGAGAGATAATAACACCCGAGTGGCCTTACGAAAAAATTTTGAGCCAAGTGAGATATTTCCAGACGCTTAGACGCCAAAGATCTCTTTCTCCCCTCTCTGAGCTAACTTCATCACAGTAGGATGAATGTTTCATGCAAATTTGAAAATGGATCAACGTACTGAGTAGAGAGTTAAAGCAAAATATCTTAGATGTGTCACAACTAAATTCGTTCATCACCGAAATGAAAATTATCTCTCATTAAGAAATGATAACCATATATGCCTCTTCGCTCCGAAAAGAATATATTTTCATGATTTAAGTAAAGGAAAACATACAGTTTTCCTGAACAATACAATTAACTGTAGATAATAATTTGGATCATTTCTTTCTCTTTGCTAAAACTCATTTAAATTGAACGGCGTAGGATGACTGTTAAATGCAAAATTAAAAATTGAAGAGTGTATTATGTAGCATGCGTCTGGGGCATATTATCCTGAAAGCGTTCTTTATATTCTTTGTTCATTGAAAGGTGATAACGTCCGAGTCGGTTTGTTAATAAATTTTGAGCTAAGCAAGAAATAAACCTAAACCTTTGCAGAAAAACACACAAATAGCTGTCACGTTGTTTGATGAACAGACATATATCGTGACATGAAGGGCTCTACGTGCACGGTATTATTTCGAAATGCATTGTCTACCTTGACAACATGACTACCTTGATTAAAATTACTATGACACATAAATGACTTTTCAGCTGTTGTTATTTCGTGTCGTTGCAGAAGATCGAGTTCCTCTCCTTTAAAACACCACATTCTTTCACGATCAAACGTTTCATCCCGTAAACCATTTAGTTACAAGTTAACTTTGTTCGAGGCATCGGCAGTGAACGAAATCTATCAAATAAGTTCAAATTTGCAAGAAGTTTCCAAAGCAGAAGGCATCTGTCCTAATCATAACAGGAAGCTTGCTTACTTTTAAAATAACGTTTGTGAGAAAATTACGCACTTCTGATCGGCTGAAAACGAGTGCATTCCGATGTAACGCGGGTGCAAATTACTAATAGCACCTTCTTTTACTATTTGAGTACGTGCTGAGTAATCCCACCAGCTACCTAACTCTTTAACTCCCATGATCTCATTAGTAATTCTCCTCACTGTCAGCCTTACAATTCCTATGATGTAAATTTGGAGAGTTTGGTATTGGATCTACTAATAATCCTCAATTGATATTTTACTTTATTCTCATCACTTCTATGCTTGATATTGTATTGATATTGTAAGGAGAAATTCTCTCTTAGTCACTCATGGGAGGTAGAAAGTTCAGAGAATTAGAACAATATTTGACAACTTCAACTGAAAGCTATTATTAGCACTAGTTTGGTTGAGCGGAGTCGTGTTTCAGAGCTAGGTTCTTTGACAGTTCGTTGATCAAAAATATTTTTGAGCGACAGAATGGCGAATGACACGAAAAAGAGATGTAATCTCCATAGTGAAAAGAAGTTTGTCTTGGCCGAAGTCACGAACAATTTCAAGCGCGTGTTGGCTGTCTTTAATGTATGATGGTCATGCTTTGACGATAGGAGCCATAAATGAACTTAACTCTACATTATAATTTCTTAGTGTTTCTCTCTCTAATTGTTATGACTCGTTTAATTTCAACGGTGTGCGATGACTGTTTGATGCAAAATTAAACAGTGCATCTAGCAGCATGTGTCTAGAGCTAATTATCCTGAAGTGTTATTACACCTTTCGTTTACCACTAATGAAGATCATCTCTCATTGAGTAAACATAACTTCCTAGTCTGCTATTGTAGAGATTTTGAGTCACACAACAAAATTTGTTGAAACCTTAACAAGCGTAAAACTGTGCAACTCTTGCCATCTTAACAGGAAATACATGAACAGCTGTTACGTTCTTTGATGAACAGCCATTTTATTGACGGTATTAGTTGAACCTGTCTTGTGTCTTGTCTACCTGGACCTCGTGACTTCTTGAATATAATTACCACGAAATACAAATACTTGTCAGCCGTTGTTGCTTGGTGTTGTTGCAAAAGGTTGAGTTCCTCTCCGCTGAAACAACGCATTTTATTCAGAAAAAAAAAAAACTGTTTACTGTAATTCATTTGGTCGTAAGTTTATAATCATTGACTCGTCGGCAGTGAATAAAACCATGGAGAATGCGTCTACATTCACAGGAAGTCTTCCTTCCAAAACAGAAGGGATCGCACTATGCAGCGCTCTCGTTTTATCTTTGGTCCTAATCATTGCAGGAAACTTGCCCACTCTGGTTCTCTTTGCAGTTACCAAACCACTTCGTAGGAAAAGTTTATTTTTAGTTATGAACATGGCGTTTGCTGATTTGATGTTAGGAGCCTTCAGTCTGCCCTTTTATATTTTCGCTGCTGGAGGTGATTATCAGCTTTGGACAGCAAAATATGACTCTGAAAACATGGTCTACAAAATATTTTACGCAAGTTTTGATGACATGTTTTTGTTAGGCTCGTATATATCTGCAGCCTCTATTTCCTGTGAGAGATTTTATGCCGTATTTTGGCCCTTTAAACACCGTTCATTATCCACCAGAACATACCGAATCACCATTTTCTTACTTTGGTCTTCCGCTGTCTTGCTGTCTACATCAATGACTTTGTTAAATGTTTCGAGTTCATTTGAAGCTAGTTTGTATGTTTTTATACCGGTCGTGTTGGGTCTAACAATAACCATATGTATCTGTAACACCGCCATCTGGAGAAATTTTCAAAACGAGAGTGTTGTCTCACAGCATCGTAATGGAGCTTCGCGAAACCGACGCTTAACAAAAACCGTTCTTCTGGTGTCCATACTGGCTTTATTAAGTTGGCTTCCCATAAGCATCTTAAACGTATTAATCCATATAACTAAGATATCAATACCATGGAAGTTTTATTACGTGGTGAACATTCTAAATTATTCTAACTCTTTTGTCAATCCAATTGTGTACGTACTGAGAATTCCTGAGTTTCAGCAAGCGCTGCGTTCTTGCTGCACAAAGAGGAGACCAGCCATTAAGATGGTAAAAACCGAAAGACAAAACTGAAAAGGTACACCCAGAACGCCAGAGATAGAACTAAGAATGTTACGAAACGATCCCACCCATCTGCAAGTTGATGTTGAACAAGAATATATGGAAACTAAGTTTTAGTCAGCTGAGATAGGAGGATCGTCCGCTTTGTTACTGAGTAGTGACATTCATAGGAGACAGGAGCCATAAATGTGGAGTATAGTAAGAAAATAGGATAACGTTCTTAAATTTTCAATTTTTCCCTTCACAGAGCCCTGTTGTTCTATAGGGTTGTTTTTTGCAGCAGCAGTTTACACCACTTAAGTTTGAATTTCATCCAATCATAAAAATATGCTGTTTTATTTATCCTATCTGAGCAAAATATCGTCTCATTGTACGAAAAAATAAACTCTTCATAAATATGATAGTTCCAGCTCTTAAGTCATTGCTTAAATTAACACACCTATACTTTTAAGATTGTCAGAACATGTCAATGGCCATCTTATGGACCGCGCCCTCAAGAGTGTGAAATGAAAAATAAGATAGAATAAAGAGCGTGCAGCTGTAACTGCTGTAACTTAAGTTTAAGAATGTTATTTTGCCATTTATTATAAGGAGAACGATCGCCTGTTTAGATCAAATACAATTTAAAACATATTTCAAGAACACCGAATGCACAAGACACCTGCACCAGCGTTAACTCAGCTCGTGGCAAGACGCTTTAATTTTGACAGAAAAAAATATCACGAAATAATTTTTTCCTCTGAACTTAAGGCTGAGTCGGGCTTGATATTCGTAATATAAAAACAGCCTTTCGTGAAAAGTTACCAAGAGGTCATTTTTATTTGCACGTGCGAAGAGAAATTCTTAATTGTTTTTTCGAATATTACGCGTGTTAAATATTCAATAGTGACATCTCATTTTCATCCATATCTACTTTTATTAAGTTGGTAAACTCTGTACAGACATCACACCAACCGACTCGCGCGCAAAGTGAGAAGACTATATGATGACTTGAAATTATATTAAGAACGATTGTGATCAAGAAACGGACAAGGAATATTCCACACTAGTGCAGGCAGCCTGACAATAGTGCAAATTATCGTGAAAGATGATCGCGGGAAAGCGCGATTGCGTGACGCTCGGTAAGTTGTGAGATGACAGTTATCAAGTATTAGACGAAAACACAGTATAAATTCTCAGTCTGCATTTTTTTTACCCAGTCTGCAGTCTGTAGTCTGCATTTTGTACCAGGTCTGCAGTCTGCACTCTGCATTTTGTACTGACCGGACTGGTATTGCTGTATTTGTTCGAAATAAAAATAAGTCAGGTAAGCAGAGATTATTTTTCTAGAATTGTGATTTTATAAGCCAATATCTCCTTATCAAGAAGCAAGAAACACAAGCCGAGTCATAATCATTTGAACAAGTCTGTCACAAAACATTTATCCACGGTGACATTTCTTACGTTTTTCGTTGAAGCATGTAGATATGTGGGGAAAACATTGCCCTTGGAATTCAACCTATAGTATCGCCGCCATCTTAACAATAACGCAAACAAATATTTGGATTCTGATAACGCCTTTTCTTACTCAAGTCAGCTCGCTGAAAAAAAAAGCTTCTTCGTTACCATGGTTTACAAACGTCTCTTGTTTACATATTTTCTTTTTTTCGTCAGAGAAAAGGAGCCCATCCAATGTTCATCCGGCATAAGTTGTCATCGCTTGTGGCCTCCTGCAAAATGGAAAAAACATCCATCATCTTGATAACGTCAGAAAAGAAGGTGGGAGAGTATAGCAGGTCATTTAATGTTAACAACTGAGTTGAAAACGTAAATTGGCCACCGTAAAGAGTAAAAAAACTGACGTTTCGAGCGTTGGCCCTTCGTCAGAGCGAGAGTTGGCGAAAGAGGCTAAAGAGTCCGCCCAAAGGACATGACACAAGGTCTGGAAACCAGACCTCTGTATAAGGGTCCATTTTCCAAACCATAACACAAATAATTTTAGAACTTTCGCTTAAATGTTTTACACGCAATTTTTCTCCCACACTATGCTCATTTACTAGAGGGAAAGGCAGCTCTTATTCTTGGGAAAAAAAAAGAAAAAAAAACAGCAACAAAATGGGAATGAAACAACAACCCAAAACCAACATACGAACACATACAATCAAGCAAACTCACCTCGATCAGGTAATGCACCTGTCCTTCTATTGAGAGAAGAATAACGATCTTACTGGTTTCTTCAAAGCCTTTGATCCACCTTTCCACATCTTTGAGAATCTTAAGACCTGAAAATAGCCAACCAACCAATCGGCTCGGTCTGACATTCTTCTTTCTCTTGCTCGGCCGCTAGAATTACTTTGCATTTGCTTTTGCTTTTGCGAAAATCAAACTCTCCTAATAGTTGTGAGTTAACTCTCAAGAATTATATGCCGGAAGTATTTGGATGGAATTCTTTTCTTGTTTAGGAAAACAAATAAATATAGCGAGTTTGGCGTCTCCGAAGCTAAATGGAACAGGCTCCTATTGATAGAAGGGATGGTTCTCGGCTCCATAAATTGACTACCTCGAATAACACATGATTCTATCTTTTTTACGAGTATTTACAAAGTGAAGCTGTCTATCCATTACACCAATCATGAAATTGCACATTCTTCACACGAGGATTGTGAATTAATTAAGATACTCGCCTCTTCATTTGTAACTTCCCCTGTTTCTTTATTCTTTGATGCCTCGGAAAGTAATTCCCTTCCCTTAGTCCTCTGCCACTCCACAAGTGGATCATATATAAAGGTTCTGAGGACACTATGAAAGGAAGCAAAGGTTAGAACGTCACTTCATTGGCGCATTTAAAGAGAAATTTGCAATTGAGAGTCAAAAGTAATCCTGCTTTATCTCACCACTTTCTAAAAGATTCAAAACTAAACCCAAACACGACTAACCACTCCCGCACTTTAAGTAGTTTACTTGTTTGTACTCTAATATCTACTTGGCTCCCTGAGAAAATATCCTTACCTCTGATTGGCTGTAGCAATTTTTTTCGTTGATGAATACGAAAAAAAGGAAAAAAACCAGCCACACCGTTTCACCAGAGTGTGCCGATTTGCATCAAACAACTGAATTATGGTGGGTAAACCTTCGAATGCAGTTGTTTGTTGCTTCAATTTACGATCAAATGGAAGAAGAAGAATTGTCAAATATATTACGGCAGCTATACTCAAGAAAATATAGAGTGCAGCAAATATCAGCTCATATTTGTAACAGCGGAGGAGGTTTTGACGGCTGAAAAAAGTACTGCCTCACCGTTTCACTTATCGTCTCTACGTGGTTTTTATTTTTTATCTATTTTTTTTTTGTCATAGGAAAGTACTTCCGGTCTTTAAACTAACTCATTTTGACTGGCTACCTACTCATTTCCGGAAATGCAGTGACACGCAACTAATCAGTGGGACATTCTAACAATAAACACGCTCAACGAAGACAAAAAGTTTTAACATCTAGTAAACAGTGGATAGCGGTGAAGGTGTATTGTGATTGGCTACTCAAACTCCAATTATACTCAGTTATTCCTTGTAGAAACGTATTTTGCGAGAGAGCTCTGTCATTATCCTGTTTGAGGGAAAACGAACCGGAATGTTTTATAATTACTACCGTACCGCGCACCGAAAAGAGTCGGTGTAAAAGAAAAGATCGGTAGTAGTTGTAAAAAAGAATTTAAAAACTGGCGGGGTGTTCGCAAATTACCCCGACGATAACTTCTCAGTAATTTTTGTTAAGAACTTTGAGTTTCTGATCAATTGATCGGAAAGAGTTCACCGATACCGATCCTTAATCCTATCGTATTGATACAAGATCCCCCGTTTAAACTCTATTCACCAGTTAGTCGGAAAAACCCAAGTTAAATGAAAACGCCCACTCGTTTTACAAGATAAGTTAATTTGGCGACGCATTTTAATAACATCCTTGTTTTGATTGGAACGTGATCTGCACGTTAATAATGTTTTGTAATCGTTTCTTAGATGACAAGAAGAAGTTGACATGAAGTGTAATCAATCTCGAGCTCGTGCCTTCCGTTGTACCCTTATGATACTTTTTGCTTGACATCTCCTGAAGTAAAAAAGACATCAAAATGAAATTTCAGAAAATAATAGATCTTCATTTTCTTTGTTGGATATAGAATTTCACGAGATTGAAATAAAATATGACCTTTTCCTTCTGTGATACCTTAATATAAATGCATTTAATTATAGACAATAATTTTCCATTATTTCGCTCTCATAGTTACAACTGGTTTGGTGGAAAACGGGAGTGCGGAGTGTAGAAATGCAGGAGTGTGGAAAATGAAGAGTGTGGAAAATGTAGAGTGTGGAAAATGTAGAGTGTGGAAAATGAAGAGTGTGGAAAATGAAGAGTGTGGAAAATGTAGAGTGTGGAAAATGTAGAGTGTGGAAAATGTAGAGTGTGGAAAATGAAGAGTGTGGAAAATGAAGAGTGTGGAAAATGTAGAGTGTGGAAAATGAAGAGTGTGGAAAATGTAGAGTGTGGAAAATGTAGAGTGTGGAAAATGTGGAGTGTGGTAATTGTGGAATGTGGAAAATAAGGAGTGTGGAAAATGCGGAGGATTTAATGATATCAACAACAATAACAAGCACTCCATTTCCTTTAAAAAGTGATGCATCATTGCGTTTTCACGATGTTGTGTGGTGGCTGACGAAATTTTCCTGTCTCTTCCAGCTGGCATTCCAAAGGCGATGGCTCTGCTGTAGTTGTAGCCCACCAGTGTTGCGCTTGTTAGCCACCAGCCAATTCAAATATACCTCAAGGGTTCCTCTTTTTAATGACGCAGCGACAGCATGAGCACACAAATAGGACGCGGGGATCACCCTGGTTGTTTGCAGTCCTGACACTCTACTTTCCTGTTCCAGCTGGCATTCCAAAGGCGACGACTGTAGTTGTGCCCACCATATGCGGCTTAGCCGTGGGCTTTGAAGGGTTCCTCTTTTTTGACGGGAATGATGAGGGTGTCATATACTGAGGTTGCCGGTAACTCTGTCACTTTTCCTTCCTTTAACACTGCCTCTCCTTTGTGCGCAATGAGCTTTAAAACGTCTGGGGTAATCCAGTCTACTCCAGCAGAAAGAATCCGCTGGAAAACAGCAGACTCGCCTACCACTAACTTTTTGTTCACAGAGGCTACGCTGTTAAGAGAAGCGTCTTCAGGACCAATGTGGTGAACGCGCGAGAGGGCTTCTTTTCTCTGGTCGTTTGTCATCTTGGCCCATTTGTCGCCTAAGTGGAGCAATGACCACTTTTTCTCCAGACTTTCAAGAAGGCCAGTAAATTCTTCTGCACTTCCTGCGTCTAACAGTCCACTCTCAAAAACGCTGCCTATCTTTCTTCCAAAAATATCATCCATTATACTCTGCTTACTCTCTCCTTTGATGTCCATAGACACAAGCTTTGTGTCTATATTTTTGCGAAGGTGGATCTCGCAAAGCAGACGAGTAGCTCTTTCGAAAGTTTCATTAAAACCCCCCACTAACGACTTTTCGTCATCTGTCCCGAAAGCCATTAAATTCTTCAATTCTGGTTCAAGAGACTTCAAGGTTCCACCAGAGAGCGAATACGTGTGTTGTGTCTTCTTTTCGTGTAGAAACACTGAGCCAATTATTGGTGGGCGTTTACCGTCTTCCCTGCGAAGAGTTATGAGATGCTGGTACGAGATCGGTGTGACATTATATAGACCAAAACCAAACGTTGGGTCCTCGGTTAAAGGCCGATACTCCACCGGATTACAGAAGAATCGTTTCAGATCATCCAGCTGTCTGTTCGTTCTCACGACGCAAAAAGGCTCAGCTCCAACTCTGACGTCACGAACAAATGCAGTCTTTGGGTCCCTTCCTTGGATCTTGCTCTCATTTAGTAACATATATCACGGGTCAGAGGTTCTTCCTGCGCCTGACGTGTTTTTAGGGTAACTTCCTTTTCTGACAGCTTTACGCTTTGCCATATCGTTTACTTGCTGTCGATTTCGCGGGACCTGAACCAATCCCACGCAGGATTGTAGACCACCAAGGCCATCTGTTATTGTGTGATGGACGGCTTCTCTAGCTCTCATTTCCCCTACGACAATTTTAAGCTGATCTCTTGTGCTTTCCCAGGTACGAACATAAGGCGTCTTTTTTTTCTTGGAATTCCCATGAGGCATTTTCGGAATGGGATATTCCTGGCCACTCTTGAAGGAATACTGAACAAGACAGTATCTGTGCAGTTGTCCTCCAGGGACTGCAACGAAAATTGATTGGTGAGACTACATACATTTTCAATGCACACTGGTTTACAGTACTCTGCTTTCTGAGATGTATCATTTTTTATGTAGACATTTATAGACTCCTGCCAATATGAAAGTCTCCCTTAAACTTAAGTCTATACAAGTGATGGAGAGATTACAGAGGAGAACTAAAAAGAGGTTATCATGCCTAAATCACTTTCCATGAACGGCAGAGACAGCCCCCTATGGTTATTTATATAAAATTTTTTTGTACATTATTTTTTTACAGTCAGATAACTTTCCATTACATCCAGAGCTTTTTATACCTCAAATAAATGCTTTAGGGGCTTAGGTGAAACTCCACCTTGAAAACCTGGCGTTTAATTGAGAAATACGAAATATTTGATTTTAAATAGAGATCGTTTTAAAACGACATGTTGCGTAAGTTATAGTACAGATTAATATTATTATTATATCACAGACTCATATTACAGATTAACGACTACCGTCCAAAAAATATGTGTATTTCACTCACGGAAAAGGATATCGATCCTCTTTTTAAAGTCGTTGTCGTGTTTCAGCATGTAGTATTCCCTCTTTAATGTCGCCACATCTGGGTCGCTTGACTCCGCAGCAGTCACTTGAGCAGAATTGTCATCCATCCATTCTACGCTAAAATAGAATTTGTCGTTGCTGTTATTTCTCCAGTTTCCCACGTCGTCACATTTGATGTCTTGTGTTGATGGAAGAGCTTCAAGATCTACAAGGAAGGTAGCATGGTGATAAACCTCGAGAGGCTGGTGCTCGTTGGAAATTTTCGGAAAACACCCTAAAAGGTACCAGAATCACGCCAGATGGGCGTGGCTTCCAAACATTTTTACCCCTAAGAGGTACCAATTTAAAACAACACAACAACCGACACTTTGACCATTTTTTTTTCCATCCAATGCCTTCTCCTCTCCAAAATTTTTGTAATCATTGTCATTACTCCAGTGCCTGCTTCGCAGGCTATACCTTAAGAGGTACCACGATTATTCTAATGGTGGTCATTTTAGATTTAGCACCCTAAAAGGTATCAATTTCCAAATTTTGAACCCTAAAAAGTACGACGAGGACTCCCTTCATTTTTATATGGGAGCCCCCCTCCCCCGGGCGTAACTCGGCTAAGGATAAGAATCAAATAACTGAAACACAAGAAACGCCGTATGCAAATCGCGCGCTTCGCCCCTGCGTACTGCTATTACAAATACCTGTGTCTCCTCCACCGTTTCGACCGACGATTTGATTAGCCTTCTCTTCCAAGCTGGTGCCCTCTGAAAGTACTGATGGTACTTTTTCAACTTTACGGTTTAGTTCCATTAGGACATCTTCAGAGCTTGGACGAAGAAAAGCGTCGAAAGCTGTGCATTTGTGATACAGTTTGTCAAGCTGGCCCCACTCTTTTAATTGTCGCTTTTTATATTTTTTGGACGATTGAGGTTTGGATTTGTTAGCTATCATCTCTTTAAGCAGCTTTTCAAATTTGGAAGCCAGGTCTGGAGCTTTTTCAGAGCTTAAATTTAGTTCCATTGTCCTTATCTTTTACGTCACTCCACGCAAAACTGGGCAGGCTCTCGAAGTAACCTATTGAAAGCGATTTAGGCTGAAGAAGTGGGATTTTATCAGCCATACGACCACGTGGAGATCAATACGGACTTGTACTCACATGTGAATATGCAAATTAAATTGAATCTACCCATGGCTTATTATTAACTGTAATAGAAGAACGCATTTCGCAAGATTTGCACCATCTAGGTGTTTGCGGTAACACCTTTTCGAACTTGATCAAAAATACTTTCCAGGAGCTTTCTGTCAGTTTATGATATTCACGGCTAACTAGCCAAGGAAAACAACAACATTAGCGCGAGGTTAATATTCTGCTTACAGATGACAACAGCTTAATAAAGAATTGACTAGCCAAGTGAGACAGAATTTTCTATGCATGTATGTATATATAGTCTTTTTCTTTTATATATTTTCTACACTCCGCATTTTCTACACTCCTCATTTTCCACACTCCGCATTTTCCACACTCCGCATTTTCTACACTCCTCATTTTCCACACTCCTCATTTTCCACACTCCGCATTTTCTTCACTCCGCACTCCACGTTTTCCACTTAACCGTTATAACTTGTCTAAATTCAAAGGTGTTAGATGACTGTTTAATGCGGAAAGAGAAATAGAATAAAGCATCATGTATCATGTGTCGAGAAAAAATTATACTGGATGTGTTTTTACGCTTTTTACTCATCATTTTGAGGAATGACGCCCCAGTCGGCTTTTAAAGAAATTTTCATACAAGTTATACAGGCAAAAAATTTGTTAAAAAAAGATACATGAACACCTGTTACGTTTTTTAATAAACGGACATTTCATTTATTGTAACACGAAGGGTTCTACATGGCACAGTATTTGTTCAAACTCATTGCCTACTCCAACTACATAAACACCTTCAAAAAATTACCATGATATTGATAGAAATTTCCGTTAAGATCCCTCCGATTAAACTGACCTTTGCATTAAAACACATGTCACAAGCCCGTCTCTTCGAAGGAGAAACCTCATAAGGAATCTCAACTGATCAAGAAGTAATGTGGGTGTATGCCCTCCTATATTCTGCAAAAAAATAACGAATATCACCCGGGAAATATTCAGCGAATTAGTGCATTTACACTAAGCGCGTGAGAGATGAGATACTTTCCGAAGAACATTGAATGCACATGACATCTGCAGGTAACTCAGCCCATGGACAAGACCCTTTAATTTTGACATCAAAAATTATCACGAAATAAACTTTTCCTCTGAACTTAAGGCTGAATCAAACTTGATGTTCGTAATACAAAAAAGAGCCCTTCGTGAATAGTAAAACCGCCATTTTGCTAAAGCGGGTTACCATGACGTCATTTTTATCCGCACGCTCGAAGAGATAAGTGGAACTTTCACCCGCGCGTGGTAAAGATATCATGTTTCCGAAACAGAAATTCTGTTATTTCATCGATATCTATATCATAAAACTTTGGACAAGAGGGCGATGAAAACAGCTGAGTTATTTCGGACAGTTTTCAAAGATGAAGTACCTCTACGCCTCGAATAATCTCAGTTTCACGGGCATCATAATTAAAACTAGTGGAGTGGAAATTGTTGATAAACAATCGAATTCTTTTTATGTGTGGAGACTAGAAAATAAAATGTCTCTTATTTTTAATAAATAAATTCATTCAATCAATCACACAGATGTATCCGGTTATCTCGACAGGAGAGAGAACTCTAATAGAGCGTCCAGTAATCGTAACTTTGGTTCGTCTGTAAAACCCATAATCTAATTATTAATTTCAAATTTCCAGACGCTGAGGCACTCGAGATCTCTCTCTCCCTTGGCCAAAACGTGACTGACTACATTTTTGAGAGATCAACCGACAAAATAGAAGAAATGGTTTATATCATTTTCTTTTTAATAAAAATAACTAAAAATATCACACTGCATCGAATGACACATGTGTGAAGCACATTTTCTCTGAAAGAATAAATACGCTTTTTTCTATATAAAGTTAAGAAATATTTTCTCTTCTTGTCGAGAAATGTTGACGGTTTTACGGGTTAGGTAATTTGTAGACTGATGACTAAGGAGGGGTCTCAAGGAAACTGAAACGAACCTTACGAGAGTGTTAAAGAGTGTAACTCCGATGGTGTTAACAAAAAATACATGAGCGGGTACTGCTCGTAATTTGATGCAAACACAAGAAGCTAAAACGACGCCGAATTCATTAGGTATTCAATTAAAATGTGCTGTCGACGACGGAAAAGAGATCACGAAATTATAACGACCACCGTGGATAAAAAAAAAGATTCTCCAAAAATTGATCGATTGAGGAAAAAACCCATGAGCGTTCCTCTGTGAGATAAGTTACTGCTATTCTGTGTTGGGAGCTGATTTCATCTATTACTTTAAGAATATCTATCATCCTCGAAAAAGAACAAGGAAAATCGAGAAAGGGAAAAAACATCAGATACGCAAACGGAAGAAAACCCATTAAATCATTGACATACGGCAGTCCTCTAGAACGCGTGCATCATAATTAAAAACTAGTGGAGTGAAAATTGTTGATAGGCAATCGAATTATCTTCATGTGTGGAGACTAGGAAATATAATGTCTCTTATTTATATAAATAAATTTATTCAATCACACAGATGTATTCGGTTATCTCGACAGAAAAAGAGAACTTTAATAAAACGTCCAGTAATCGTAACTTTAGTTCATCTTTAAAACCCATAATCTAAATATTAATTTCACATTTCCAGACGCTGAGACACTCAAGATCTCTCTCTCCCTCGGCCAAAATGTGACTAAATACATTTTTGAGAGATCAACAGACAAAATAGAAGAAATGGTTTATAACATTTTCTTTTTAGTAAAAATAGCTAAAAATAGCACACTGCATCGAATTACACGTGTGTGAAGCACATTTTCTCTGAAAGGATAAATACGCTTTTTTCCATATAACATTAAGAAATATTTTCTCTTCTTGCCGAGAAATGGTGACGGTTTTACGGGTTAGGTAATTTGTAGACTGATGACTAAGGAGGGGTCTCAAGGAAACTGAAACGAACCTTACGAGAGTGTTAAAATGTGTGACTCCGATTGTGTTAACAAAAAAATACATGAGCAGGTACTGCTCGTAATTTGGTGCAAAGACATGAAGCTAAAACGACGCTGAATTCATGAGGTATACAATAAAAATGTGCTGTCGACGACGGAAAAGAGATCACGAAATTATCACGACCACCATGGATGAAAAAAAGATTCTCCAAAAACTGATCGATTGAGGAAAAAACCCATGAGCGTTCCTCTGTGAGGAGATAAGTTACTGCTATTCCGTGTTGCGAGCTGCTTTCATCTATTTCTTTTAGAATATCGTGTCATCCTCGAAAAAGAACGAGGAAAATCGAGAAAGGGAAAAAAACATCAGATACGCAAACGGAAGAAAACCCATCAAATCATTGACATACGGCAGTCCTCTAGACTACGAGCTGTCTCTCCTTTTCGGTTCAGTCTGTCGCGCGAGTCCGAAAAAAATTTAAAAAATCCCTCCGATTAAACTGACCGTTGCATTAAAACACCATGTCACAAGCCCGTCTCTTCGCAGGAGAAACCTTACAGGGGAATCTCAACTGATCAAGAAGTAATTTGGGTGTATGCCCTCATATATTCTGCAACTTGCATATTTCCTGGTGATATTCGTTATTTGTTGAACAAATAACGAATATCTCTAGGAAATATGTAGTGCATTTACACCAAGCGCGTGAGAGCTGAGATACTTTCCGAAAATCAAATACTTCAGAGGAAAGAGTATTAAAGGCAGAGAAAACTTTGAATGAGACTGCAATCGATACAAGAGCATGCCTTTACGCTCCAAGAAATAACTTCTTAGTTCTAGTAAAAAGAATTCACAAGGTTCACCGCACAAAAAAAGTCAGCGGATCCTTTAAAATAATAATTCAGCAGTATTTCTCTCTCCTTGCTATGACTCTTAAATTCAACGGCGTAGAATGAATTTCTAAGGCAAAATTAGAACTAGAGCAGTGCATCATGGATCATGCAGGAGTCAAGCGTAAATTATCCTGGAAGTGTTCTTACACTGTTTATTTATCATTTTAACGAAGATTATATCTCATTAAGACATAATAACACCTGAGTGGCCCTATGAAGAAATTTTGAGTCAAGTAAGAAATTTCCAGACGCTTAGGCGCTAAAGATCTCTTTCCCTCTCTGAGCTAAATTTATCACAGTAGCATGAATGTTTAATGCAAATTTAGAAATAGATCTACGCACTTAGAAGAGAGTTAAAGCAAAATATCTTGGACGTGTCACGACAAAATTCGTTCATCACCTTCATGAAAATTATCTCTCATTGAGAAATGATAACGATATATGCCTCTTCGCTCCAAAAAAAAAGATATTTTTATGATTTAAGTAAAGGAAAACATACGGTTTTCTTGAACGGATCAGTTAATGTAAATACAATTAACTGTAAATAAATAATTTGGATCATTTCTTTCTCCTAAAAAAATTAAAATTGAACGGCGTAGGAGACTGTTTGATGCAAAATTAAAAATTGAAGAGCATATTATATAACATGCGTCTGGGGCAAATTATTCTGAAAGCGTTCTTCATATTCTTTGTTCATTGAAAGATAACGTTAGAGTCGATTTGTTGACAAATTGCGAGCCAAGTAAGATATTTGTTTAAAACCTTATGAAGCGGTAAAACTTTGCAGAAAAACACACAAACAGCTGTCACGTTGTTTGATGAACAGACGTATATCGTGACATGAAGGGCTCTACGTGCACGGTGTTATTTCTAAATGCTTCGTCTACCTCGACAACATGACTGCCTTGAGTAAAATTAATATGACACATAAATGACTTTTTAGCTGTTGTTAGTTTGTGTCGTTGCAGAAGATCGAGTTCCTCTCCTTTGAAACACCACATCAGTTCTTTCCCGATCAAACGTTTCATCTCGTAAACCATTTACTTACAAGTTAACTTTGTTTGAGGCACCGGCAGTGAACGAAATCTCACAAATAAGTCCAAATTTGCAAGAAGTTTCCAAAGCAGAAGGCATCTGTCCTAATCATAACAGGAAACTTGCTTACTTTTAAAATAACGTCTATCAGAAAATTACGCACTTCTGATCGGCTGAAAACGAGTGCATTTCGATGTAACACGAGTGCAAATTACTAATAGCGCCTTCTTTTACTATTTGAGTACGTGCTGAGTAATCCCACCGGCTACGTAACTCTTTAACTCCCAAGATCACATTAGTAATTCTTCTTACTGTCTGCCATACAATTCCTATGATGTAAACTTAGAGAGTTTGGTATTGGATAAGCTAATAATCCTCAATTGATATTTCACTTTATTCTCATCACTTCTATGCTTGATATTGTATTGATATTGTAGGGAGAAATTCTCTCTTAGTCACACATGGGAGGTAAAGGGTTAAGGGAATTGGAACAATATTTGACAACTTCAGCTGAAAGCTATTATTAGCACTAGTTTGGCTGAGCGGAGTAGTGTTTCAGAGCTAGGTTCTTTGACAGTACGTTGATCAAAAAAATGTTTGATATCCATAGGGAAAAGAAGTTTGTCTTAGCCAAGGAAAGGAAATTCAAGAACAATTTCAAGTGCGTGTTGGCTGTCTTTAATATATGATGGTAAAGTTTTGACGATAGGAGCCATAAATATACTTAACTCTAGATTATAATTTCTTAGTAATCCTCTCTCTAATTGTTGTCACTCGTTTAATTTCAACGGTGTACAATGGCTGTTTGATGCAAAATTTAACAGTGCATCAAGTAGCATGTGTCTAGAGCTAAATATCCTGAAGTGTTATTACACCGGCTTCCGTCTATCACTAATTGAAGATTATCTCTTATTGAGAAAGGATAGCTTCCTATACTGCTAATGTGGAGATTTTGAGCCACACAAGAAATTTGTTAAAACCTTAACTAGCGTAAAACTGTGCAATTCTTGCCTTTTCAACAGGAAAATATATGAACAGTTGATTCGTTCTTTGATAAACAGCCGTTTTAATTGACGGTATTAGTTGAACCTGAAATGTCTTGTTTACCTGGAACACGTGACTCCTTGAATATAATTACCACGAAAGACAAATAACTTGTCAGCCGTTGATGCTTGGTGTTGTTGCAAAAGGTTGAGTTCTTCTCCTTTGAAACAACGCATTTTATTCCGAAAAAAAACTGTTTACCTTAAATCATTTAGTCATAAGTTTATGATGATTCACTCGTCGGCAGTGAATAAAACCATGGGGAATGCGGCTGCATTCACAAGAAGTTTTCCTTCCAAGGCAGAAGAGATCGCTCTATTCAGCGCTCTTATTTTATCTTCTGTCCTAATCATTGCAGGAAACTTGCTCACTCTTGTTCTCTTTGCAGTTACCAAACCACTTCGTAGGAAAAGTTTATTCCTAGTTATGAACATGGCGTTTGCTGATTTGTTGTTGGGAACCTTCTCCGTACCCTTTTACATTTACATTGTTAAACATGTCCATCAGCTTTGGACAGCAAAATACGGCTTTTATCTTATGGCCTTCAGATGTATCGATGCCATTTTTTTGTTCGGCTCATATCTATCTGCAACCTTTATATCTTGTGAGAGATTGTACGCCGTATATTGGCCGTTTAAATACCGTTTCCTGTCCATCAAAACATATCGCATCGCCATTTTCACACTTTGGACATTCGCTGCCTTGTTGTCTATAATATTAACTTTGCTATCGGTATTTACTTCAATAAGATCTGCATTGTATGTCTCTGACCTAGTTCTGTTGGGTCTAACAATCATTATATGTGTCTGTAACATCGCCATCTGGAGAAACTTTCAACACCAGAGTGTTGACTCACAGCATCGGAATAAAGCTTCGCGAAAGAGACGCTTAACAAAGACCCTGCTTCTGGCGTCCATACTGGCTTTATTATGTTGGCTTCCCTTAATCATCTTGAACGTATTAATCTATATAACTGAGGCATCAATACCATGGAAGTTTTATCACATGGCGAACATTCTAAATTATTCTAACTCTTTTGTCAATCCGATTGTGTATGTCTTCAGAATTCGTGAATTTCAGCAAGCGCTACGTTTGTGTTGCACGAAGAGCAGACCAGCCATTAAGATGGTAAAATTCAAAGGAAGAAACCTAACGGCTGCACTTAGAACGCCAGAGATAGAACTAAGAATATTCCGCAACGATCCCACTCGCCTGCAAGTTGAGGTTGAACGACAATATATGGAAACTAAGTTTTAGTCAGCTGAGATAATAGGACCTTCCGCGTTGTTACTGAGTAGGGACATCCATAGTAGGAAGGAGCCATAAATGTGGAGTATTGTAAGAAAATAGGATAACGTTCTTAGATTAGCAATCTTTTACTTGACAGAGCCCTGCTGTTCTATAGGGTGGCTTTTCGCAGCAGAATTTCACACCAGTTAAGTCTGAATTTCATCCATATGTATATATCATAAAACTTTAGACAAGTGGGCGACGAAAACAGCTGAGTTCTTTCCGACAGTTTCCAATGAGACATAGGTTTGAAGATGAAGTACCTCTACGCCTCGAATGATCTCAGTTTCACGGGCATCATAATTAAAACTAGTGGAGTGGAAATTGTTGTAAGCAATCGAAATTATTTTCATGTGTGGAGACTAGGAAATAAAATGCCTCCTATTTT